TGGAATGGTTCAAGCAGGGTGCCGATGCCTGCGAGAACAGGATCGGGATCAAGTGCAAAGAACCGCCGTGATCCGTCGGCATGATCCGTTCATCCGTAGTGATTTATGAGAGAAAATCCTTGCTTTTATGAGAGAAAATCCTTGCTTTTCCCGTTTTTGGCAGGGCAGTGGCACTTGCCACTGCCATCGGCTTTGGCAACTGCTACAAAATCATTAAAAGATCCTTTTTCTTTAAATAATAAGAAAGTGCACCGCTATCGGCAGGCACTAAGAGACCAAAGCGAAACCCGCAACTAAAATTCAAATCAGTAACTGCATTTACCGTGTACGATAATTATGTTGCCTAATCACGCCAGATTGTACATAATACTACCAAGTTCCATTTGCGTACTCTTATAGACCACCGTACATTGTGGGCACTTCTTTTCGATTCTGCTTATCATTTAAGGCACGTTTTCTTAATGCAAGGTCAAGCAAAAGTAACAGTAAAATCAGAAGCGCAGTTTCATTTCCTTTCTGTGAACGATTGGAAAATATTATTTTTCAAACATAAAACTGGGGTTTGGAATGTCTGCTAGTTAAGAGCGCATTATAAGCACAGCTGCCCCAGCAATAAACTGGTTATCTCGGGCATTCCAACCAATTCTCGGTTTTCTTCATAATCGCCTTAATCATCGTGAATTTTTTATCATTTGCGCCCACTAGTTGTTCTCTGTCGCAGCTGTGGAGGCCTGATAAAGCCCTGCAGTTTCATATAATATGAATATCATGGTTGCAGAGAAAACATCGGCCTGTGCCATTCAGATTAAACAACTGTAAGTTTATAAAGATGGCTACATGACTTTTTAAGAATACTCCCGCTGATGAGTCATGCAGTTAATTATCATTCCAAGTTCAATAAAACGCCAGTAGAACTAGCTCAGCCGAACATATCGGAGATTCAAACGGTATTTTGTGCGTGAGCTTGTTGCTGATCCCGCTGTGCGCGCGACAACATGGCGAAATTCAATACCCACAAGGTCAGAGGGGACAGTGTCGTCAGATCCAGTCGGCGCAGATCGTCCCCACTCCAGCAATGCTTCCACTGGTAGCGGTTTGTCAGACGAGGGTCCCCGCACTGATATTGCGTCAAAATCTGGATAAGGTATTCAAAAAACACGAAATAAAAGCGACTAATTTATGAGCAATCTTACTATTCTAATGGTGGCGCAGCTTTCCGATGCTTCGTTAGCCCACGCTTCCTGCGCCACCCACCGCGCTATCTCGCCGACATCCAGCGGAATCCACTGATCCATCCACAATAGATGCCGCTCCAGCAGCGCATACAGCCCCGTCTCCATCTGCAACACCGTATTGCGGATGACGGTGAATTCACTGGGAATAGTGATGACGTTCTCTTGGCGGCCAATACCGCAGAAGCGGCAGTTGCGCCATACGATCCATTCCACGGATGATGCCGCATCGGCACACTCCTTAGCCAGCAGCTGCACCTCCGCCGAGAGAAGATTCTGGCTGAAATCCCAGCGGCACCGGTTGAATGTCACCTGTCGAATAACCGGTCGCTTGAATATTTATTACTTCTTTAAGATAAATGGTAAGCCAAATAATTCGACGAAAAAATTCGTGCCGGCTTGCGCTGTGAGAAGTGAGGGTAATCTTCAGACAGCGAAAAATACTACCCTAGTAATAATTATTGTAATATGAGTACGCATTTTTTCCCACACCACATTTTCCCGTTACCACAATTTTCCCTTTTACCATATATCTATCGCAGGCTTTGCATTGCGCGAAGGAATGTTTTCGCGGATATACGCGAAACTGCAATAAGAAACTCTCTCTCTCTGTATAAAGCTTCACCTTCAACTTTTTCTTGCGGTTACCGCGCTGCTTATAAATGGCGCTGACCAAGCGCAAGCAGTCGCTGATTCCCTGGAGCTGCCAGTTCTGGAAGGCGTTGGTTATGACGACCGTCTCCGTGGCAGCGGTTAAACACTGGACGATGCACATACCCACGGAGTACAGATAGGTTGCATTGCCGGCGGCGTCAAAGTTGAGCGCCAGGCGGCGGCTGGTGTCATCCTGCTTCATAACCGCATCCCACAGGGGGCTGACACGGCGGTAGAACCAACGTTCATTTGTCCCGCACCAGGACAGGATCCCACGCAAGATTTCCGGTGGAAGTTTGGCGGCTATTTGACAGGATACCTGTTCCGGTGCATTCCGCAAAAGAAAACAAACGTCGGGTTGGATTTTGGACGGTATCCAGTGCCCATTGGCGTAAGTCCAGTCGGTCTGCATGCGCCATGCCATTTCCGCTTTGGCCTTTTCATTCAGCTGCTCCTGTTTAAGCGCAATCACAATAATTGTCACAAATTCACATAAAAGGTTGCTGTGCCAAGTTCAGGCAGTTGCGTAAAATAAATTACAAAATATTCCCGTTCGCGATTTAATTATTAGTTTTCACTTTTCCAGTACCAGTTTCTCTTGCCAATCCAACAATGTCAAAACTGTAATCGCTGGACATGGGAGATCATAAGGGACAGGCAGATCATAAGGGGCGATACCACCCTACCGCGCTAATCACCACCACCCCAGACGGTCCTTTTCGTCCCCAGATAGGGGACGAAAAGGTAGGGAAGGAGCTTTGGAAAACATGCTAACATCTCATAATGGTTTTCAAGGTCCTCCGATTTTTAAATTTCGGTCGAAGGAATAAGATTGTTTCTTGCTAGGCTTTGTGATTTTTGTACAAAAAATTTGATTCTCTCTGTACATCCGCTTTTTGCATAGAAATAAAATTACCAAAGTTTGCACAGTACCAGAAATGCAGTCTGTATCATGCTAAAATTAAGCAGAAATAAAAGACTTCATTGGTAGAAACAAAAGAATTTTTGTAACTGCCAGAACTTGTCGTATCAAGGCTGTACATGGCCGGATATTGTTATATAAGTTTCAATTTTTTCAAAAACGACTTGTGCGGATAAATACTATTTTGAAATTGATTTGATTCACAATTCTTACGGTTATACCAAACGCTATTGCTTCAAACTTTGTTTAAAAACCATACCAAATCATCGTCCGATAGCGGTGATAGTATGGCGGGCTTACTCCGATCCTGGAGATACAGCAGGCTTTCGTTCAACACGCACATGGGTAGCGCCGTGCAGGCCGGCACCGACATCAACCCTTCCACCCACAAACTCCACAACGCTGGCTCCAACGGTCCCCCTGTGCGATACTCCCACGGCAGGGCACACGCCCTTACCACGTACTCCTCCTCCTTAACAGGCCGAAACTCCCCTTTACGACGCACCAAACGGACCGCGTGCGCGCTGGCAAACTTAATCACAGAGCTCTCACCCAGCTGGATTCGGATATATGCGTATTCATTCCACAACACCCGGCGTACTAGGAAAACCGCCGGGTGCCACGTCCACGGGCGATCGGCGGCCGTCCGCACCAGCACTTCAAATTCTGGCGGGATCGCAGGATTGGTCAGGGCCCCTTTGTACTCTGTGTCCCAGTCATTCAAAGGAGCAAATTTTAATTGCCGAGAACTGAGACAGTGCAGCGCGTTGCTGTATTCGACAAACTGCGAGCGGCGGCCGGGGACGCCGAAATCAACGAGCAGTCCGCCGTGGACGGTGTTGATCACCATACCGCGCTCGTATAGTCCGCCGACATTCTTCAAATCCACTGCGTTCCATTGGTAAACGTTAGCGTCGGGGAAAATCTCACAGCAACGTGAAAAGTCAGAAAAAACAGATGATGTGATACCGTTGCCGTTCATCGTGGCTTAAATGCTTTTAACGGTATATGGGATGCGTCATCAAAATACTTTTCTGATGGCAAAACCAGCACCTAGAATCCTAGATGCCCTAAGACGGGTACAGGAGATCTATGACAACACCACCCTGGCTGCTCACTTATGACTTGAACTGAAAGGCCTGCGCTGTCCGCAGCATCAGTTGTGGGTGGAAAAAGACAAAGGAAATCATTCGAGAGGGAGAAGTGGCGCCTTCCTTAGGTCTGTGTTATATGTCTGTCTGTTATGAAGTCTCTTGAGTCTCACTGTTCTGTTAGCCAGAAAATGTATGAATTGGGCGCTTCTATGCTGCTGCACATATATGACTTGGCAGATGCTATGTTACAGTCTAAAAATAAGCTGCTTAAATGAATTACCGTACTCAGTACGGTAATTTATTTAAGCAGCTTATTTTTGTACTGCAAAGAATGTTTTGCCTGCTCACCTTATTAATACTCGTAGATTGCTGAATGCTGAGCATGCACCTTGAGCCGTTTTCGAAACACTAAGCCGAATAAAGCGATGACAATGTACATCAGCATTATTTGTACTTGTGGTATCGCGCTTAAACACAACACATCACTATGTAAAAGGGGGACTGGATTTTATTGCCAAAACATCCAGGGTGAGGTAACACGCCGAGCCGGAACACCCACAAAAACCAAACAAACAACAAAAAAAAATTTTTGCGAACTGCAAATGACAGCAATGCGAAAGGGAATGACAGAGTACGCCGGCCTTTTATACTCAACGCTTATACTGGCTAAGCAAACCACACGACAGACCAAGCAGACCAAAGGCGGATCTTGTACGTCCAAATAATATACAGATTTCCTTACCAAAATCTTACACGTTCTTATTCATTCAATACTTCTGCATCCAGCAAGCTTCTTGCAGAGTGATTCCGATTATGATGATACAACGTCAATATCAACGATACAACGATACAATATACAACGATACAATATACAACGATACAACGATACGATATGCCATATCATATTGCATGTAGTAAGTACCCAGGACTGCACAATATGCCGCATACGTATCTACATGTATAACTTAAGCAATACATATTATCGGCAATGCCCAAGCGGTGGAATTTCCAAAAGGCGCTTAAATTTTGAACTGCAGCACAAAAAAGGGAAAAAGATAGTTGAATTCATGATTATTGTTGCACGTATTTGGGTACTAAGAATGTTATAAAATTTGCAGATATATTAATTAAAAGACAAAAGTATTTTGTTCACTTCACTACACACTACACAGTACACACTATACACATTCTTCTGTTGGACATTTGGTTGCGTCCTCTTGTGGTAAAATGCGCTCCCCTATCCGGCCGGCTCAACAGTCCATCGCGTACGCGTGTCAAACAACAACGATCATACAAAATGATCAGCGAGAGTCCACTGTACTGGCGACCGTATGGTGAAGCCAAGCATGAGCACCCACAACGTCAATGTGGACAAGGTCATCAGATCTAAGCGACACAGTTCCTCTCCCGTCCAGCTGGACTTTCCACGATAGCGGTTTGTCCGCCGTGGATCTGCGCACTGGTTGGTCAGCAAGATCTGGAAGAATATTTAACATCAGAAGCAATGATTTTCAGATCCGCATACTAGCGGTATTTTTAAAAAAATGACGCCACCCACCCGTCGAATATTGCCGCAATTGACTTGCGTTTCGTTCACAATCCATCGCATCAACCCGAATGCATCCAGCGGGAGCCAATGCTCTTCCCATCGCAAACTCCGTTCCAGCAGTGCATACAACTCCGTCTGCATCTCCAGAAGCATGCCGGAGAGGGCGGTGACGTCGCGCAGCACAATGAATTCCGTATGCTCGGCGCCGATACCGCGAAAGCGGCAGTTGCGCCAGACAATGCGTTCCACGACGGCGGCTGCTCCGATACACGCCGTAGCCAGCAGCTGCACCTCCGCAGGGAGACGGTGATTACCCAAGTCCCAGCGACAGCGGCTTACAACCACCTGCCACAAAATGTGGAGAATTAAAGGTGGCGAGCATTTTAAATCGCAGCGCATTTACCTGCAATTTGTTCCGACGGTTGCCGCGCTGCTCGTGCACAGCACTGATAAGACGTAGGCAGTCGCTAAGTTCTTGCAATGAACAACGCTGGCTGGCGTTGTTAATGACAACCATCTCCGTGGTGACGGTAAGATAATGGATAATGGCCATGCCTACTGAACAAGCGATCGTGCCGGCGTTGTTGAAGGTGAGCATCAGGCGTTTGCTTGGATGGCCCTTTTGCATGACCGCATCCCACAGCGGGCTGACACGGCGGTAGAACGACCGCTCATTCGTACCGCAACAGAACAAAATCTCCCTCAGAATCTCCAGTGGTAATTGTGCGGCAGTTTGGCGAGATCGCTGTGCTGATGTAACATTAAAAGTTGATTGGATTATGGGCGGTGTCCACTGGCCGTCGATGAAGGCCCAACCGGTCAGCGCGCGCGGTGCCATAGAAGCTTCGGACATTTCATTCAGGTGCTCCTATTTAGTTTTTAAAAAATAAATAACACGCGGTTGTCATCGGCAGAAAGGTTTACGGGTTAATGGTTTACGATCAAAGAAGCCACATAAACCTTTCTGCCGAACTGCATAAACCTTTCTGCCGGAGCCGTAAACCTTTCTGCCTGCGGCACCTTTGAAGCTTGAACTTTCTGCCGGATGCGTAAAACTGTTAATTGGCAGCGTAAACCTTTCTGCTGGGCATTTATTTTCATTTTATGATTCTATCAAGCACGTTATTATGTGCATTCAGGCACATCAACCTTCCGGTTAGCCATCAAACATACGCAGTTTTATATTAAGACATTTTTGAAGCAGTGTTTAAGCTTGGCTGTTTTTAAGGGAAATGCTCCTGCCTCGTTAGAAACAGAATATGCGTCCTTAAAACGCCGGACTACGCTAACAATTTCAGCAGTTTTCTTAAGTGAAAATATGAACCATTTTAAGACGTGTATGCACTTTTTTAATTAAAGGCTCTCACCAATAGAACCAAGTGATTTTTCATCAAGCGATCAAAGTTTTAATGCGGCGAGCTACTGCCCGGTTTCCGCCTATAATAGCCATACATCATTTCAATACGTGTGTTAAGGAATGTTCGCCGGGCCAACTTTCAACCCTTCTGTGCAAATAAACAGAACACTGAAACAGCAACAACGTGAGTACGGAATGCATACGGCATTTCCCTTTCCAGTGAGGCCGCCTTTTTTGTCGTTGCACACCTCTTTATGACTGCTTGCGAGCCTTAATGCGCACAATAACGTCTTTGTAACATCACAGAATGGAAACAATGGCCCCTTAGAAAGGTTTACGCAGTTTGACGGAAAGATTCGCATCAAAGATGCCGCCGGCAGAAAGGTTTACGGCTCCGAAAGAAAGGTTAATGCTTCAAAGGTGCCGCCTGCAGAGAGGTTTACGGATCCGGTAAAAAGGTTTCCGCTGTCAATGAAAAAGGTTTACGTATCAATGAAAAAGGTTTACGTGTCAATGAAAAAGGTTTACGTATAAATGAAAAAGGTTTTCTTAGCATAAACCTTTCTGCCGCACCATGTGCCGGCATACTGTACTTAACCAACAGACTTAGGCAGTTTCGCTTTGTAGTGGGCGAATTTTTTAGAATGTTTTTTTCCAATCCAATCTGACTGGTAAAATTTACTACTTTTCAAGAACGATCTAGTTCTGCCACTGGTTGGATACGCACAATGGCTCCGAATGGCCATAGTGGTGTCGTTGTCTTTTCAATGGATGCCGCCAGCAGTCCGGCAGAAAGGCTTACGCATCCGGCAGAAAGGTTATCCTTCCGGCAGAAAGGTTTACGTGGCGCCTTTAATCGTAAACCATTAACCCATAAACCTTTCTGCCGATGACACGCGGTCACTAAAGAACTATTAAAACAACGTCGAAGCCACGTGCAAGTTCTCACTATGTGTACGGTTAAATTCTTTATTTTTAAGGAAAATGGCTCGGCACATGGTGTCAAAAATGGGACACATACACTAAAACTTTCGCTTTCGCGCACTCCGAATGACTTTTTTGCCGTACTTTAAGTATTCTGGAGCTTAATGATTTGTTTAAATTGTTCTGAAAATCGTTTGCGCGCGCAACATCCGGTTGCCGAGATATGGCCTACTAAAATGGTCGAAAAGTTTAAATGCATTGTTGTGCACGAAAGTCTGGTTATTACCCGATATTTTTGAAACTTTGCTGCAAAAAACACTTGGCCATAAAGTCGAAAGTGAACCAATTCCAGGTTCATAGGACTTCCCCATAATTTTAAAATGAATGATAAATTTTTGGAAATTCATTTTAAAATCGGAAAAAAATTCTATGGATCTGATATTGGTTCACTTTCGACTTCAAGGCCATGTATCTTATACAGCAAAGTTCAAGAAGATCGGGTGATAACCAGACTTTTGGGACACAACAATGCATTTAAACTCTTCGCCCATTTTAGTATGCCATATCACGGAAGCCGGATGTTGCGCGCGCAAACGGTTTTAAGCACAATGTAACAAATTATTTTGCTTTGGAAGGACATCAAGTGTTACAAAAAAGTGATTCGGAGTGCGCGAAAGTGAAAGTTTTAGTGTATGTATCCCATTTGTGACGCCATTACAGGGCCATTTCCCTTAAAGCCGATTTTTGCGTTGGATATATGGCGGCAGAAACGAAGCGCCTAATTCATGGTAATCTGATAACGAAACTTGAAGAGGAAGGGGTGGGTGTGGTCAGGGAGCGGTTCTAAAAACACAGGGGCGTTAAGTAGGGTGGCTCTATAGATCACCGCAGTTTCTACAGGTTTGACCCGGGAACGGCAACATTCGGACCGGGAATGGTGCGAGATCATATGAAGGTAGCATTCGGGACCATGAATATCAGCATCACACCATTTCCTCCTAACACCGACTGGGTTAATAAAAGTCTCACCCAGTAGACATATATTTCCTTAAATACATGTACCTTGATTATGGCTTACTACAAAATATCTCTCAAAAGCGCTGAAAAATTATTCGTACTAAAATTAGTTAAAGTCGAAGTAAGTGCGGAAAACGGCTCTTAGTCATACAGATACAGTAACTCAGATTAGAAACTTCAACATTATTCAGTAAATACTTCATTATTGAAATCTAAATGTCCGGACACTCAGCCAAAACCTGTGCGGACTCAGAAATGAAAAAGCTCATTCGTACAAACAGCCATACTGTTAAAATTATTTAGAATTCATTATTGAGTGCCCCGGCACTCACCAGTACAGTACCAAATTCGCATAGACAGAAGCAAATTTATATTGGATGACGAAAGTTTCTTATAAACGTCGAACAGGCGGTCAGTGGACCGCAAATTTATCCAGACCAGTAAAAAAAAATGTAAAGCGATACCCTTAAAACGTATAAGAAACAGCAAAAAAACTTACGCATACTGCGCCTGCTATCGAGTTTTGACTGCCGCGGGTATAGATCTTGCTAACGTCGCCGGACACCAATTAGAGATACAATTTAAAAATTTTGCCATATGTCAGATGTATTGGTACAGTATATTAATCGTAAGTACAATTATGTATGAAGTACAGTATATTTAAACATACATATCTTATAATTAAGTATATACCTGTTCCTTGTAGTTGTTAGAATGCTAACAATTTGCAGAGTACAAGCACAATCATAAGAAATTTTAGGAGTATGGTTTTATTACTACTACAACTATGTACAATCACCTCGCGACAATTTTTTTTCTGGTTAAATCTGATATAAAGTGCATATGCTGCCTTACCAGCTCCGCATCCGATAGTGGATTCCGCTTCGCTGGCCTCCACCTATCACGGAAGTGGAGGTACTGCAGGCGGTTGTTCACAACACAGATGGGATACGCCGGATGGACGAGCACCTTCATCATCCACTCCTCCCACAGACTCCACAACGCCGGCTCCACCGGCCGCCCCCTCCGATATTCCCGTGGCAGGGCGCAGGTCTCCGTGAAATAATCCTCCTGCCTGACAAATCGCACCCTCCAATCCCGGAGCGCAGGACGAACCGCGAGGGCGCTGGCGTATTTGACCACGTAGCTATCTCCCAACTGGATCCGTATGAAGACATATTTACCAGCAACACCGCCGGGTACCACGTCCACGGGCGATAGGCGGCCGTCCGCGCGAGGACCTCGAAACGGGCCTCCGGCATAGAATTATTTAACGCTGCGCTGTGATCTGCGCCCCAGTCGTGGAATGGAGCGATACGGCATTGCCGGTAGCTGAGGCAGTGCCTCGCCTTTTTTAGATCGACATACTGCCAACGTTGGCCCGGCACGCCGAAATCCACGATAAGGTCCCCGCCCCGCCGTGGTGGGCGGTGTTGATGACCAGACCGCGTTCGAGATGTCCGTTGGCATTTTGTACATCCACTGCGTTCCACTGGTAGACGTCGGTGCCTGGATAAACCTCACAGGGTGGCGCTGAGCCCGCACAATCAAACGATTGGATTCCGTTGGTGTACATCGTCCTGGTACTTGCCAAAAGGAGATCGACTTGATTGCAGTCGCTGCAATCACGAAACGGAAAGTGACAACTGCGCTTTCCATTCGTTGTTCCATGGCAAGTTGGCAACTTTGACGGAATCCAAGGGGAAACACCAAACACTGTTAATCGCTCTCAGCTTATATCGATATTATACTCTTGATGCTGCGGTGCCATGAGACACATAGCCCAAAGCGTTATCAGGAATACTCACGTAGGGAATACACGAAGACCATAGGGAATACACGTACACATACGGGCCATTGGGAATACACATAGACCATAGCGTTGCCACGCTCGGTTGAGCATTCCCCAGTGGATGGACGGTAGACAGTAGTCAAGCTGTCTCTCTGTTTATGATCAGCTGGGCTGTGGCTTGAGCCACTTGACTGCAGCTGACCAAAGGATAGTATAGTGCCAAGAGGGAAAGAGAGCAGCAAATAATTCCGCCCATTCACAATATACGCCACAGACAGTGCATTGTTTTAATATTGTATTTCTCTATGGACTATGGCCTATGTGTACGAGTGTAATCCCTCATGGCACCGCAGCGTCAGGAGAGTATGCTCACTATGCTCTCTTTTCTCTTCATAGTTTACATCGTATACTGGCACATTAGCGGTCTGTCGGGTAAGCGCTGCCTCTTGATGGAGCAGCAATGCGATCAGCTTTCCTGAGGAAAGCAGAGACATAGAGAGTAATAGTCAATAGGATAAAGTCCGGGTAAAAGTAATGGCAGTCTATCGAGTGTACAGTATGTCGGCACTGCGTCCTGTAGTGCTGTAGGTAATCCCTGTAGTGCTGTAGCGATGTCCCCAGGGAACGTCTGTGTCCCGCCGAGGCCTCCATGCTTCGGTATCAAGCAACAGAAGATATCAATAATTATTGTTGACAGGAAAGAAAGACTGAGTCAAATCACAATAATGTGCCGGCTTAGAGCGCCGCCATTGAGACGCGCTGATTCGGTGGAGGCGTTATTGTATAATTACGGTATTCTACTTTTGACAGGTTAATTAAATTCTCTCATAATTAACTTAAATCATCATTTAATTAACAGTTCACTGACATCAGACACTAGCAATGCGCCATGGAATAACAAGAAGTGTTGTATGAGAAATCTGTACCAGCTCGAATGTTATCGTACGTCAGGTCACGGGAACAATCCACACTGAAGATAAGCGGCCACTCATCCCAATAGTGCCCAACCGATGGCGTCGTGTAGCTCTCGATCACCACCACTTCGCCTTGTCTCTTAGAGGTTGTCAAGTGCGACTTGTGCTTCAGAAAGTTGCGGAACCACGCCAGCGAGCAGTCACAATGCAGACGACGTACGACGACAAAAATCAGCCTGAGTCAGTAAAACTGGTAGCGTGTCACGGGGATCTTTCTGTAGTCGCTGCAAATCCCACCCCAGTCCGTTCTCCAACGCCAGGAAGTCGAGCTGCGGCAGATCGGTGAACGTGTACGCTTCCAGTGAAGCAATCGTGCATTCGTGCAATCGTGCAATCGTGCAATCGTGCAATTATAACACGTGATCTGTCGTACTTGCGGCATCCCGGTAAAATGCTGCTTTTTTATTACCAGATTCCGGCCGAGCTCCAGCTCTAGTGTAACCAAATGGGGCAGTGGCCCGACAGCGTGGATTTTGGCCGTGACATGCGGTGTGACGCAGGGCGTTATGCTCAGTTCCAGTAGCTGATCACGCACCGGGCCGATGACGTCAGGATGAAGTGAATCGTCCGCATCAGCGCCTTCATTGAACAGCAGGAGCACCGCACGACCGGGGCTGATCCGGCGGATGTGGCGGGTCAAGCGGGCGGTGTCGGACCGATTGTAATAGGAACACCACGCGCGAATGAACGTCGGAGCATCAGGTATCGGTCCCGGCCGCCCGTCGTCAGGACAGTAGATGTTTATATCTATATACTGTGAATGGATTTTTTTTTTTGGATAGTACAGGGACGTTGTGCTGTTCTTCAAAGCAACATATGCATGACATTCCTCTTGCGTTAGCAGATCCGTGCGGAAGGTGAAGTTATCCGACGACAGCAACGAGTCAGGAGATAGAGCGGAGGCTGTTGGTGGGCTGCATTCGGCTTCCAGTTCCCTGGCGGGGTCTAGAAAACAGCGAACTGATTTACAGCAAAGCCTCAGTAATGTGAGTTCGGCGACGCACCAGCAAATGTTGCGCCCGAGAGCAGAACGATGGCGAACAGACAGGGTCGGGAAGACTTATACATGCTGCCTAGAGTGTGCTAGTCGTGGTGTCTCCAGCGCGCTGGTGGCGGGTATTGCGGACAAAATTGCCGAATGCCACTGGCTGCTTCTGAAACGCTTTCTTACACTCTGTATGTTATCCGCGTTGGAACATCCAATGAGAGTCTGAGACGCTTGACCAAGCTTTCCTAGGTTCGTACGTCGGGAAGGCGGTGTGATCGACTAGACTTCAGTATTTGATAGCTATCTGGACTTACATGGAACATATGGTTGGTTAGATACCGTGCTCACAAAACTTTGAAACCGATAAAACAAAGGGAGTGTTGTTGTTGCTAAATCGGTCCAAAGGACTCGAAGAAAAGGCAGAATGCTGTATATGAAAATATGAAAACGGAAGTGACTCCACGCAGCAGTGTGTGCTACATACAGCGTATGCTGTATGGACACATAATGTGGTTATGCAAGAACTCGTTTTGATTTGCCTTGTCGGCGAGTGTTGCCGCTGGCATTGTTTAAAGAATTCTGCGTGATACGCTGTCATGCTGTGTTCTGTGGAGTATAAAATGCGAGAAAATAAAAGATAGTATTTCCGTACATTTAAACCAACTCAACAAGCCTGCGTTCAATCTTTTGAAACTGAGTTAAGTCGTCGATTATACATGTTAAAGTAATTAACAATGTGAGATTAAAATTTTTGAGGGGAATGTAGAGCCTTCGCAAGCTCTACCCGCGCTTACACTGCGCACGACACGCAACTGGCATTTTGGTACTGTTCAACATGTTTACAGTATAGTGAACGATGTACAACTCAATTTACAAAAAAATGCAAACTGGACTTGGCGCTTGAGTATAGTAATTCACTGATAATTATGTCAGTGCATACGCAGCCAGTTGTAAACGAACTGATGGTGGGTATTCTCTGGGTAATGTCCCCTTCATTCATAAAATTAATCATAATTAGTACTTATCACACCGGATCCGATAGCGCTGAGGCGTGCGACATTTCTAAACTTTTCTTATTCTGATCTTGAAAATTATTTACGGAAATCAAAACAAGCACAAGCTAAAATCATTTTCGCCAGTAGTAAATTAAAATATCTAGGAACACAGATGAAACAGTTTTACTGCTATTTTTTGATGGATCCTTTCGGGGCGAACCAAAAATACTATGCACCCAAGCCCATCGATACATGCTTTGTACAAAGTTGTACGTTATACACCGCTTTAAAAATAATATTTCGCCAGGTTATCATCGTAAATTCTGTGCAAACATTGGCGGTGCGGCTGTCTGTGGCAAATAAATCTCTTTTAAAAGATAATTTTTATATGCCGTTTTAGCAGGGTGTCCCCAGCGCCCTGTCTTCCTCTGTCGTCGAAAGCAGCGCCTCGTCTTCCTCTGTCGTCAACAGCAGCGCCTCATCTTTACCTTCAGCATTCTCACGGAGAACACGATCGCTGCTGACCGCGCGCATTCTGCGCCACATCCAGCCGATACATTTCCAAGCATAGTAATAGAGGCCGCCTTCGACTACACTCAGCAACAGCAGCAACACCGGCAACTGGAACTGCTCCGGGACAAGGAGTCCCAGCACGGGAAAGGGCAGGAACATCCAGAACACCACACGGGAAACTAATACCAGTAAGCAACCCTCAAGGTCCGCCCACAGAGCGCACACGCAGAACGGCTTCTTGTTGGCCTGGCGAGATTTATCCGGGTCGGTCGTTTTCTCCTTGCTGCCTTCCACATCGTTCCCAGCGGTTTTCGGCTTCCTGTTGAGAAATAAACGTGCTAACTAACGCCTAAATGTTGGCGAGAATTCCGTCCACTTCGGTGTTTTCCTTATGGAAAAGATTTTCGTTAAGTACTGTATCACAAACAGAAGATATTTTTGGGAACGATATAGCTATCGCTTACAGAAGCCAGCCAATCAGGCAGTAGCATCCAAACCCAACAGCGAAAGCCACTTCGGCAAACAATAAGGCAGTCATCGGCAGCCCGATCAACGCCGCGATGCCCTCGATCCACACCGTATAGAAGCGTTCCGTCGCCGGCGAGATGACCGTGTTAAACAGCGCCAACATAACCGGGTTATGGGTCGACCAACGGGGATAGTGTATATCTACATAGTACGAAAGCATCACGGTCAGCTGGCTAATTCCCTAAAAATATTTTATATGCACAAAAGTCTCGCAAGGAAACGCCGCAGAGAAGGGACTAAATGCTGTTAAAATTGATTTCATCCATTGTACAATCCACACGAATTTATCAGTTACCGTATACTTAGCAGAATGTGTGCATTCTACGACTGCGCCCGCTTTGCTGTGCATCACCAGTTCTTGAAGAACACAAGAAGCGTTTGTTGCTTAGTACTTCTTGGCGATATCAAAAATTTTCTTTGTTGTTTTTTTTTCGGGACCTAAAATAAGTACTAAGGAGCGTATATAGCTTTCCTACCGTTCCGAAATTGTCACAACACTCGGTGCAGTTGATGGTGGTCCAGTAGCTTTTTGATTCGCCTGGTCCACGGGACGATGGTAGGAATGAGAAGGAATTGTACCACTCGAAAACTACCGGCACTCGAAACAGCATCTCCAGGCCGCAGTAAATTAAACACTGAAGCGCTGGAATCGCTACAAACACAAAAATCTAATTATGGATGAGCTCTTGTACTTTATATATTGTACAACTGTGTCCACGATATCTCACATTATATATCCTCAACGTGCGTCCTTGGTACTTGTACATATTCTACTTCTATTGTTGTTTTTCTATTTAAGCGCCGCACTTCGCTTTAGCTGAGTTTCTTAGTACATAGAATTTTAACGTTTACGGCGTATGGCTCCTGTATCCTCAGCGGATAAAGCTTCTATAACGGCCAAAAGAGGGCAGAATACGTAAAAATTACACTGCGGGCGCGCTGTGATACTGTAGCTTTAGAGCATGCAACTACCAGCTGGCAACCCATATTTTACACTTTAAACGCTGTTAACGATGTCTTCCACAGTGCTACAACAACATCCTTTAGGGTTAGGTGTCCTTTACGTAACCTGCTGTTTGAAGCTTTGATGGTAACAAAAAGGGGCCGACATGGCTTGAATAACTAATCCTTGTACTTGCTGGAGCATACCAGAAAATGAGCAAACTTCACTTGAATTATGTAGCATTTACGAAGTATCTGTACGCACCGTGCCATAGGTGGAACTTGTTCAGCCATGACCAGCGCATGTAATACGACGGACAAACAGCCGGTGATTCCGTTTTGATGGCGACTTCCAGCGGTCGACCAGCCGCGAACGGCTGCAGGAGCCGGACTCCCGTTACCTTCCTTTGGGAGATACAAAAACCCTCTATCAACTGTCTGAACGCTCCATCGGCACAAATTCGGCTTTTCTAACTTCTGAGTGGAAAACGATTCACGGTGTCAAAAAAATCCAGTTTTCTACCTGATGATTTCGTGCACCCACATGAAATACGTCTCTTCCATCCACAATCCCCAGATCCTTCCGGTGCAGTGCCAACAGACAGAAGCCGGCAGCAGTCACCGGGAACATGGCGTCGTCAATGCAGTGCCCAATACACGCAACGGTCAGTGCAGATACAATAACCGCCGGCAACGCGCAAAAGACCGCCCAGATTCCTAGGACCGCGCTCATACTGGCCATGAACAGGACATTCAAGATTTCAAAGCGGCATCTGGACGTATCGGGATCCGCGTTCCATCCGTCGCTGTCATCTGGGTCGTTGGTCATACTGTAGCCCAAGAAGGCCGTGATGCGGTGACAGCAGGGAAGATGCTGTGTCCAGCGGGGAAATCTCCAGTGACGGTTGACCCAGGCGGAGCAGGCAATGGACACGCCCAGCAGCACGGTGATGACGACGGTGGCGACGGCGCCGATGTAGCCGATATTGGCTCGCGCTGCGCTCAGTAGTGAGCCGGCAACTGTGCTGGTGACCGCCTGGGACGAGGAAGGCTTCCAGTTGGAGACCAGATCATCCCAGACGCAGCCGGTTATATTCTGTTGATGGAGAGAGCAAGTAGAGAATTAATTCTGCCAAACGTGTATAACAAAAACAGGAATGTTGCAGTAATTCAAAACTGTTTATGTGAAATAAGTTCCCGTAATGTTAATGTTAGGAAGAACACAGTACAACGCTCGTATGCACAACAGTGAACGGCTATACATGCCCGATCAACAATTAAACTCGCATTTGAACAACGAATATAAAATTTTTAGACTACTCAGAATTTCATTCCATGACACGTCATGCCACAGTGTTTACGTGTGCTTGCATTTGATATGGATGGTGCCCGGCGAATCATAATAAAATTATATAAAATATCCTAATAATTTTTTTTTGGTTACGTGTTGCGCTGGGTTGCGTTTGACGTTTCGCGATGTTGCTAGTCGTCAGATATTTCAGAAGTTGGCGAGATTATGACATATTGGTACAATAGTGCGTATTAAATTTGTCTTCATGATAATTCTACTGTTGTGATCATTGTCTTGAGCGACAGCATTATGTCACTTATTTATGTGCAAATATATTTATTAGCTTACAAAAATAATACAATGACAAAAAGCGGTTTTATCGGGAGCAAGCCAACCTGACGAAGCAGAAACCAGAGCAGACCATCCAGTCCCGTGTAGTTGTCGGGATCAATGCGTGTTAGTTCCCAGTCAGGGAAGAAACGGGTACCAAACTTCACCGACAGATGGCAGCCGATCCACAGTACGGCCAGGGCTTCCGTGATGATCTCGTGGTAGGCCCAGGTCAGGTCGCGGTTGAGGACCACCGTGAACGTCTTAGCCGGCTTCCCCATTGGAGTACAATTACTTGCAGCCGGATAAACAGACGTAAGAACACCGACAACTGTCAAAAACACCGCAGAAGGGGAGGTATTCCTCGTCCGTTGCCGAATCGTTATGAGTAATCCCAGATTTTCCTTGCCTTTGAGAACGTGGATCGTGCCTATACGATAGAGATATTTCTTCGAGGATTAATATACAAAATTTGGGTCGACAATCGTGGATATTCTGGGCTACACAATATTCCGATAAAAACCTTCACACTGGCAAGGGTAGGAATATGGAGCAGTTCCTCTGAGTAGCGCCGTTGCGAATCTCTAAATTCTAATCTAATAAAAGCTGGTCGTTAAGCGACTTACGTCAGTGATGTTGCCCGCAGTCCAGGTTTCCCGTTAATCATCAATAAATCTCCTCTGGTTTGGGTGCAGCTCACGCTGCTCTCCACTTATTAATACATGTTGTTGAATCCTACGGTACATTCAATACGGTATTTATTGTGAATACAATACTCTGCACGCGCGGCTGCGTGGGAGAAAACACAACGGAAAGCGAGAATGCCATACAGCAACTCCTTTCTACCTAAATGGCAAAATGCAGAGAAGAAATCAATACACATCTGCGCAAATCGCGATCACGCGGTGATCGCCGTAAATATCGATAGCTGAATGGGTCTTATCCCGTGCGACTTGCTGGATGACGGGAGATGTTTGCGTGAGCGGGACAGTGCATCCGTGTACAACAGGAGAGTTATGCACAATACACAGCCGCAGCTAGTGTAATCGTAACGCAGTACCTTAAGCCGATCGGTTCACCGAAAGAAGGAAATGAATGTTAAATCTCGCACACATGATACAGCGGCTTTTGATCCCTTCGTCCAGATCTATATATGGCACGATGTTATTGTGAACAGTTTGAATTTTAAAGCGAGCACATAGACGTATATTATTAATTTCTTGCAACAGTTTAACCATATGACACAGGGTAATTCTCGGATCTTTTTCGAAATAAATTACAGTTCATAACCTATACGCGCATTGGTTGCGATGCCGGCTGCTGCAGCAAATCGTGCTAATTGAGAAGCCGTCCTTCCGTGTTTGGAACACCATACAAGGCAATCCCACACGACGCTTTCATTTTTTCCAGCGAGCAAGTTAGATAAGTTCTAAAGCAGCGAAGTTCAAAATTTGCCCTGGTTTCCATATGGTCAGTCTGTCTGACCACCGAGAAAAAATATGGGTATTTCGTTGTGCAGAAAGATTTGGAGTAGCACGGACTTATCGTGCGCTAGGTTGTGGAAACAATCCACACTGAAAACAATGGGTGTTTCGGTTATTTTGTTATGACTGACAACGGCAGGCATCATAGAGTTAGTTGCCATCGGCGCCTTTTTCTTCCGCTTCTGTCTAGTGCCGCCTGAGCTTGGGAAAGTTACGGAATCACGCAAACGACTGGCGCCATACGACGATAAAATCCGAACTGAAGACGTAAATCATCAAGGCCATCCAATGTATAATAACCGTCATAAGCCCCGACCACCAGTACAGCCAATAAACTCAAAGCAGTTTAACAGAAATCACAAGTCTGTACTAAATCCGATGCCGTTGACGTGTAAGAAATTACTCCGCCATCTATTTCTGAAAAGTAATGTACTGTGGAGAAAAAGATCTGGTCAGATAGTTATAAACGGCCAGCTCCAAAACTAGTAAAAAAACCATTCAGTCATCACGTCATATGGCGTTCGTGCAAAACATACCTCGTTCCCCAACGCTTTTGCTTGTACAGTCATTTGGTTCTGTAATTTAAATTTGGTTTTCGCTGAAACTACTTTACAGCCCCGTAATGACTAATTTTAACAAGGCCCGGCTGCAAAGTTCGAATAACGTTAGCATCTACGTTATTTTATTAATAATAATAATATTAGTGTTCAAAGTTGTAAACTGTGAGCCAGTTTGCACTTGAAGATCTATGCTTTTCATTTCATTGAACGCGTCGATAACGCTACCAACATCAGCATCATAATAACCATTAATACCAGTGCCACCATTGCATTACTACATAATACCGTACATACTACCACCACCACTATCCATCACTTGTACATGTTGCCCGCAGTAGTGGCAGGGCACGCGGTACAGCATTACCTACACCTAAAATGCACAGCAACTTTATTAACATAAATTATAACAACATTCAAAAGTAAGTTCATTAATCCACACAACCAGCTCGCGAGAGAAGAACCATTCATCCATTCAAGCACATTGCCGTTGGCATAGCAATCATAGTGCCGCGGACGATCGTCATATCGCTCAGCACAGTGTTCTCGGTATGTTCACCGCCGCTACCGGCAAAGCTGCAGTTGCGCCAGAAGATGCGCTCAACGGCGACCGCCGCGTTGGCACACGTGTTGGTCAGCAGGCCCAGCACCTCCCCCTCCGAGACCAGGTATTTATTACTCACTTTCCAGTTACAGCAGTAGACCATCACCTGCGCAAGAAAACAGAGTTCCACGCAAAGGAACAGTGTGCAGATTAATATTTCCCTATAATCGTAAAAGATTCGTGCAAATTACCGTCCGCCATGCTGTCATTATCTGGCCGTTTAATATAGCGCTGGTCTACTTCAAACTTCACCGCGTTCAATGAATCATCCTATTGTTATTTTCTTCTTTCATCTAATTCATTATATAAACATAAGTTACCGGGAAATACTGTAGCCGCCTGCACACGTTGCATCGCTATCAGATCCGGCCGTTGCCTTTTCCCTGCTGGGCATTGCACACGCTGTGTTAAACAGCGAGCAAGGTGAGTGCAGATATCGTGCATTTCAATCTGTGGTGCAACTTGTGCGGGCGGCTACAGTAAAAATATTATAACTAGTTCGTAATTCTCCGGAAAAATCGAAGTCTAAGTTTAGTGGCGCAAACCTGCAACCTTCGCGGGCGGTAGCCGAGCTGTTGGTATAAGGCGCTGATGAGGCACAGGCAGTCGCTGAGGTCATTTAGCGTCCTGCGCTGTTCGGTGCAAGTAATAACGACCATCTCCGTGGCGGCAGTTAAACAGTGGACGATGCATATGCCCACGGAGCGGAGTACCGGGCCGCGGTTGCCGAAGTTGAGCGTTAGGTATTGGCTACTCTCTTCATGTTGAATAATCGCGTTCCACAGCGGACTGACACGGCGGTAGACGGAGCGCTCGTTTGTGCAGAAACAGGTGAGAATCTCGCGCCACAATTCCGGTACAAGCGCGGCTCGCCTTTGATTGAACGGTGGTACCGGTGCAGCATACCGAGCAACGCCATTTCCGTACTGGATTTTGGGCGGGATCCACTGGTCTTCGCTGTAAATCCAGCCAGCTTTCAAACGCCGTGCCATCTTCCCTTTGGCCAATCCATTTATTCGCTTCTGTTAGATTACAACACAATCAATTTTTTAAACCAACCGAATTTCTTTCCTATGGTCTGCTACGTACGACTTACATCTTCACTTAGAGGAAGACAAATGCAGTTAGGTAATAACATTAAATTAAAGATAATAAAAAATTAATGACCATACCAAATCTTTTTTTTGTACTGGTGTCAGTGACAGATCCTGAAGATACAGCATGCTCTTATATACCACACAAAGGGGATGCCCGGTGTCGACCTGCTTCGACATCGTTTCCTGCCACAAACACCACAACGCCGGCTCAATCGGAAGTCCCGTCGCATACTCAGGCGGCAGGGTGCACGCCCGCACAACATAATCCACCGGCCCGACAGCGCGACTCACCCCGTCCCGGCACGTCCACCGAACAACCTCGGCACTGACAAACTTTTCCACGAAGTGAGGACCTAATTGGATCTGAACGTAGGCATATTTATTCCATAAGACCCGGGGCGCCAGAAACACCGCCGGATACCAGGTCCACGGGTGGTCGGTTGCCGTCCGCGCCAGAACCTGAAAGTCTCCCAGAGACATGGACTGGCTCAGCGCTCCGCCGTATTCAGTGTCCCAATAGGCAAACGGGGCGTAGCGCTTGTTCCGGGAACTGCGACAGTGAAGCGCTTTTTTATGCTCGACAAACTGCGAGCGACGACCAGGTACGCCGAAATCCACCAGCAAGTCACGGTGATCCATATCGATGACCAGACCGCGCTCGAGAAGTCCGTCGGTATTCTCCACGTCCACTGCGTTCCATCGGTAGATATCGCTGCTACTGCCAGGATAAATCTGACAAGGAGGCGACGCGTTCGAACCATCGGACGATCTGGATCCTTTGGTAGTCGTTGTCAAATCCATGGCCAACAAATTTTGGTCTACAGTGATACACACCAAACGTACGTTGCGAGTTGCAACCTTGCCACCGGGAGAAAGTAATAAAATCGTTCTGCGCAGTGTGTATCCAGAAATAATTTTGCCTACCGTAGACAAAACAGTATTTTGCGATTACTTTATTCTGCCGTTGCGTGACAGCTTAGCAAAAGTACTGTCTAGCTATACTCAGGCTGATACACTCATCGCGAGAGGAACATAAGAATACAAAGTACAAACGGAGCAGTCTGCCTGTCGCTCAATGGGGATTTCCCGTTGATCTCAACTACAGCTGACCAGAGGACAATGAGAGCAGGGGGGATGTCGGAAAACAATTGCGCCCATTTAGAGTAAGGCGGGACAATGATCTGCCTGGCTGTGGCTTTACGTTCACCATAACATGATCACCCTACATTGCGCCAGATGCAACCGAAGAAAGGCCAAATGCTGCAGTCGACGATCTGCAAGCTGCTAACTTAACCGGAGAGAGACCTGATAAGAATCATATGAGTTCATGAGCAGTCTCGATGAGTGAATGCCAGCATATGCGCAATCACGATTTAGTAATTTGAATAGTCATATAATTTTTGTTGACCTATTGTTCTTCATCGGTGTATGTTTGGTGGTAAATAATTTATAAAAAGCCACCACTCGAAAATAAAGAGAATAAATACAAAGTAATATGACGAGGTTGACTATGTTTGTGACAAGCAAATCGTCCAGATGCTGTTTTTTTCCAGACACTTTTGTAGAATAAAATGCTCCGTATTTGTCAAAATTCGTGTTTTTTTATATAATTACTGACGCACAGACGTCAGTAATTATATATGGTTCCATCTTGTCTGACGTCCTCGCAGGCGTTGCGCTGGCGGCACGGGATGTAGCCTCCCTCCGGAAGGGTTGCAATTGGCTCCATCGTGCACAAATCCACTACATAACACTAAGCTGTACTTGACTGCTAGTACAATGTAAATTATACGAAACAACGGAAATTTGAACGGATGTTCCGCCAAAGATGTCATGCAGACCAAATTACTTCGACAGATCGGAAACAAATTGACTAAAACTCCAAATTATCAGTGGCAATCGTACATATTCGTGTATTCGCGCATTGCAGAGACAGTGAACGAGTTGCGCTTACCGTGCCATATTTCGCCGGCCGTGGCTCACCGATCGCGATACTCATAGGGTTCGGTCTGGTTCACTGGGGACAAATGGAAGCGGTACGGAAGAACATCGTGGAGGTTGCGGTTAATCTTCCAGGCCCAGTAGTGCGAGAAGCAGCACTGCGTCTGCACAAAATTACTGTCCGCATGTCCTGGCACGCAGTCCCGACAGTAAGATCGATATGTAAGGATCGCCGTCCACGGGGCACCTAATCTGCCCCGGGTTCAGACCATCGTTGGCAAGCTCCTCGTTCTTCTTCATCGACCGAAGCGTAGCGAAGGTCCTCTATGTTCAGCGTTCATGAAACACGTGGTGTCTGTCGGTCACCGCCATCTAATGCACATATGCGCGGCGTTTTAATGTCAAATGCACATATGCGCGTTGGCCGTATATACTCAAGGCGCGTGCAAACTGTGGTGTCTGTCGGTCACCACCATCTAATGCACATATGCGCGTTGGCCGTATATACTCAAGGCGCGTGCAAACTGTGGTGTCTGTCGGTCACCACCATCTAATGCACATATGCGCGTTGGCCGTATATACTCAAGGCGCGTGCAAACTGTGGTGTCTGTCGGTCACCACCATCTAATGCACATATGCGCGTTGGCCGTATATACTCAAGGCGCGTGCAAACTGTGGTGTCTGTCGGTCACCACCATCTAATGCACATATGCGCGTTGGCCGTATATACTCAAGGCGCGTGCAAACTGTGGTGTCTGTCGGTCACCACCATCTAATGCACATATGCGCGTTGGCCGTATATACTCAAGGCGCGTGCACACTGTGGTGTCTGTAGGTCACCACCATCAATTCACATATGCGCGTTGGCCGTATATACTCAAGGCGCGTGCAAACTGTGGTGTCTGTCGGTCACCACCATCTAATGCACATATGCGCGTTGGCCGTATATACTCAAGGCGCGTGCAAACTGTGGTGTCTGTCGGTCACCACCATCTAATGCACATATGCGCGTTGGCCGTATATACTCAAGGCGCGTGCAAACTGTGGTGTCTGTCGGTCACCACCATCTAATGCACATATGCGCGTTGGCCGTATATACTCAAGGCGCGTGCAAACTGTGGTGTCTGTCGGTCACCACCATCTAATGCACATATGCGCGTTGGCCGTATATACTCAAGGCGCGTGCAAACTGTGGTGTCTGTCGGTCACCACCATCTAACGCACATATGCGCGTTGGCCGTATATACTCAAGGCGCGTGCACACTGTGGTGTCTGTAGGTCACCACCATCAATTCACATATGCGCGTTGGCCGTATATACTCAAGGCGCGTGCAAACTGTGGTGTCTGTCGGTCACCACCATCTAATGCACATATGCGCGTTGGCCGTATATACTCAAGGCGCGTGCAAACTGTGGTGTCTGTCGGTCACCACCATCTAATGCACATATGCGCGTTGGCCGTATATACTCAAGGCGCGTGCAAACTGTGGTGTCTGTCGGTCACCACCATCTAATGCACATATGCGCGTTGGCCGTATATACTCAAGGCGCGTGCAAACTGTGGTGTCTGTCGGTCATCACCATCTAATGCACATATGCGCGTTGGCCGTATATACTCAAGGCGCGTGCACACTGTGGTGTCTGTAGGTCACCACCATCAATTCACATATGCGCGTTGGCCGTATATACTCAAGGCGCGTGCAAACTGTGGTGTCTGTCGGTCACCACCATCTAATGCACATATGCGCGTTGGCCGTATATACTCAAGGCGCGTGCAAACTGTGGTGTCTGTCGGTCACCACCATCTAATGCACATATGCGCGTTGGCCGTATATACTCAAGGCGCGTGCACACTGTGGTGTCTGTAGGTCACCACCATCAATTCACATATGCGCGTTGGCCGTATATACTCAAGGCGCGTGCAAACTGTGGTGTCTGTCGGTCACCACCATCTAATGCACATATGCGCGTTGGCCGTATATACTCAAGGCGCGTGCAAACTGTGGTGTCTGTCGGTCACCACCATCTAATGCACATATGCGCGTTGGCCGTATATACTCAAGGCGCGTGCAAACTGTGGTGTCTGTCGGTCACCACCATCTAATGCACATATGCGCGTTGGCCGTATATACTCAAGGCGCGTGCAAACTGTGGTGTCTGTCGGTCACCACCATCTAATGCACATATGCGCGTTGGCCGTATATACTCAAGGCGCGTGCAAACTGTGGTGTCTGTCGGTCACCACCATCTAATGCACATATGCGCGTTGGCCGTATATACTCAAGGCGCGTGCAAACTGTGGTGTCTGTCGGTCACCACCATCTAATGCACATATGCGCGTTGGCCGTATATACTCAAGGCGCGTGCACACTGTGGTGTCTGTAGGTCACCACCATCAATTCACATATGCGCGTTGGCCGTATATACTCAAGGCGCGTGCAAACTGTGGTGTCTGTCGGTCACCACCATCTAATGCACATATGCGCGTTGGCCGTATATACTCAAGGCGCGTGCAAACTGTGGTGTCTGTCGGTCACCACCATCTAATGCACATATGCGCGTTGGCCGTATATACTCAAGGCGCGTGCAAACTGTGGTGTCTGTCGGTCACCACCATCTAATGCACATATGCGCGTTGGCCGTATATACTCAAGGCGCGTGCACACTGTGGTGTCTGTCGGTCATCACCATCTAATGCACATATGCGCGTTGGCCGTATATACTCAAGGCGCGTGCACACTGTGGTGTCTGTCGGTCACCACCATCTAATGCACATATGCGCGTTGGCCGTATATACTCAAGGCGCGTGCAAACTGTGGTGTCTGTCGGTCACCACCATCTAATGCACATATGCGCGTTGGCCGTATATACTCAAGGCGCGTGCAAACTGTGGTGTCTGTCGGTCACCACCATCAATTCACATATGCGCGTTGGCCGTATATACTCAAGGCGCGTGCACACTGTGGTGTCTGTCGGTCACCACCATCTAATGCACATATGCGCGTTGGCCGTATATACTCAAGGCGCGTGCAAACTGTGGTGTCTGTCGGTCACCACCATCTAATGCACATATGCGCGTTGGCCGTATATACTCAAGGCGCGTGCAAACTGTGGTGTCTGTCGGTCACCACCATCTAATGCACATATGCGCGTTGGCCGTATATACTCAAGGCGCGTGCAAACTGTGGTGTCTGTCGGTCACCACCATCTAATGCACATATGCGCGTTGGCCGTATATACTCAAGGCGCGTGCAAACTGTGGTGTCTGTCGGTCACCACCATCAATTCACATATGCGCGTTGGCCGTATATACTCAAGGCGCGTGCACACTGTGGTGTCTGTCGGTCACCACCATCTAATGCACATATGCGCGTTGGCCGTATATACCCAAGGCGCGTGCAAACTGTGGTGTCTGTCGGTCACCACCATCTAATGCACATATGCGCGTTGGCCGTATATACTCAAGGCGCGTGCAAACTGTGGTGTCTGTCGGTCACCACCATCTAATGCACATATGCGCGTTGGCCGTATATACTCAAGGCGCGTGCAAACTGTGGTGTCTGTCGGTCACCACCATCTAATGCACATATGCGCGTTGGCCGTATATACTCAAGGCGCGTGCAAACTGTGGTGTCAGTCGGTCACCACCATCAATTCACATATGCGCGTTGGCCGTATATACTCAAGGCGCGTGCACACTGTGGTGTCTGTCGGTCACCACCATCTAATGCACATATGCGCGTTGGCCGTATATACTCAAGGCGCGTGCAAACTGTGGTGTCTGTCGGTCACCACCATCTAATGCACATATGCGCGTTGGCCGTATATACTCAAGGCGCGTGCAAACTGTGGTGTCTGTCGGTCACCACCATCAATTCACATACGCGCGCTGGCCGTATATACCCAAGGCGCGTGCAAACTGTGGTGTCTGTAGGTCACCGCCCTCTAATGCACGTATGCGCGGCATTCCTACTATTAAAACGCATACACACACGGTCACCCACCGCTATCTAATGGGTATTTGTACGGTCACTACATACTATGAAACGCACACATGCACGGTCACTTTACTATCAAAAACAAAAATGCTGGCTGTTCGTATATACTCGGGACGCGTGTAAATGTGGTGTCCGCTGGTCACCATCTCTACTACTAATGTGTCCAGAGGCGCGATAGCCGTATAAAAATCCTATGCTGGCTGCTGGTGTTTCAGAGACTGTATGTTTTATCTCTTTGATAACTCAAGGTTAGCATTTTGCATTCCTATTTTTGCACCATACTTAAACCATTGCGTTTGTTTGTCGGTCACCGCCACCCCACTTAAAAGGGTAAAGGCGCAGTGTCCATTTGTACTCGAGGCTAATGCACATATGCGCGTTGGCCGTATATACTCAAGGCGCGTGCAAACTGTGGTGTCAGTCGGTCACCACCATCAATTCACATATGCGCGTTGGCCGTATATACTCAAGGCGCGTGCACACTGTGGTGTCTGTCGGTCACCACCATCTAATGCACATATGCGCGTTGGCCGTATATACTCAAGGCGCGTGCAAACTGTGGTGTCTGTCGGTCACCACCATCTAATGCACATATGCGCGTTGGCCGTATATACTCAAGGCGCGTGCAAACTGTGGTGTCTGTCGGTCACCACCATCAATTCACATACGCGCGCTGGCCGTATATACCCAAGGCGCGTGCAAACTGTGGTGTCTGTAGGTCACCGCCCTCTAATGCACGTATGCGCGGCATTCCTACTATTAAAACGCATACACACACGGTCACCCACCGCTATCTAATGGGTATTTGTACGGTCACTACATACTATGAAACGCACACATGCACGGTCACTTTACTATCAAAAACAAAAATGCTGGCTGTTCGTATATACTCGGGACGCGTGTAAAATGTGGTGTCCGCTGGTCACCATCTCTACTACTAATGTGTCCAGAGGCGCGATAGCCGTATAAAAATCCTATGCTGGCTGCTGGTGTTTCAGAGACTGTATGTTTTATCTCTTTGATAACTCAAGGTTAGCATTTTGCATTCCTATTTTTGCACCATACTTAAACCATTGCGTTTGTTTGTCGGTCACCGCCACCCCACTTAAAAGGGTAAAGGCGCAGTGTCCATTTGTACTCGAGGCTTGTGGCTACCGCAAGGTCTTTTTTTTGGTAACCGATACGACGGTACCTTTCTGCCGTTGCACTACTATCTACCGGGACCAGCGCACTGCTGGCATGCCAAGCTGCGTTCTGATCTGACCGTTGGTAGGGCTTCATGGAGGGCTACAGTAGTTTAACGTGTAGTGCTAAAACCGCTTTTAACAGCCAGCTCATGTGGAAAATATTTTGGTATTTCGCCGGGAAGCTTACCGCCACCTACTCGAATGGCGATCGAGTAAAATAAACAAGTCTTGACGTTACCTGATTCTTCAAAAAAAATTGTGGGAATTGCATTAAAACACGTTTAGACCCGGTGAAACCATGCAATGGCATGCATTCGCCGGCCCAGAAGGGCGTTCACCATAACTAACGAATTTAACACAGATTTTATACTATGCAATGATGTACAGATAAGTCTCAATTTTTGAGGAATATGGCTCTATCGTGGCATTACTGGTGAGACCGTAAATACCTCCAAATAGGCTTTACTTTAACACAATGTTTTTCAATATGACTGGCAAAAATGTCCGATTCAAAACTTTAGCCATATTCCGAGAACAGCGAAATGTTGATCTGCCAGGGAGGCCTCACCGGTCACATGGTTCTGCTCTACGGACACTGTACACACCTTTAAATTGTAACATTTATTCTACAAATTTTTGCTGATAAGTATGTAGATAAAAATTATTCGTAATAATTTAATGCTACGCTTCGGTCACTCAGTGCCCGCCAGAAGCGAGTGCACTTTCCTAGTGTTACTACTAACTCGACCATTGTTTGCTAAACCATTCATTCGGGTAGGGTTGTTCAATCAGGACGTAGGGCGTGCGACCATCCGGTCGACCTGGCGGAATGCTAAACCGGATGTAGTCGCCGTTAACTATCAACGACAGTGCCAGACTGGTTATAAACAGCAGCAAGATACTAAACATTCTTTAAGAAGTAAAGTTTCCCGTTTAGCTCGGCCAGTTTTATGTTTTCGTCAGCTTAAACCGCGAACGAACCGCCACCCTGTCCATGTACATGCCAGGCAATATCCATTCGACACCAAGTAAAGAAACTTCGGACAAGACTAAATTCAAGTGCTTTTCCCCGCGCCGGCATGGATGATTCGCTGACTAAGAAAGTACGTACTGTGAATACTTGCCAATAACCCCGGGGTTGTTAAGTGGGGATGGAAAAAGTGGGCACTGTCAGCTATAACACAATCCTAGAATGAACATTCCACATGTAAGCACTCAGCGTAAACGATCAGAATTTGCCAGTCTCTGCGAAGCAGCCGGCGCATGGGCTGCGTCCAGATTTTATGATTCACAATGTTTCCATCGCTGAGAGCGCTCGAAAATCCACCCACCAACTGAAAAATCAATGGTTGTATGGACAAGTGTTCAAAGAAGGCAGTTCCAACGTTAACAAAGTCCCAGACTTCCGGTGCAGAGTGCAGACACGCAATTGGTAATAGAAAGGAATAACGCTTCAAATCTGCAGTGCTACAGACTGTACACAGGATGTACGGAACACAGAAATGTGAAAATTCTCATTTACTATAAATATGAAGCAGCACTGTTTTCCTTGCCGCTGGCCCCCAGTATCAGATGGCGCTGGCTAAGCGCGCATCGATCATCGAAGGAGGAACAAAAGCAAACCCGGATGTAGGCTTTAATGCCGAAATCTAACACACACACCGCGCCTTGTGCGCCAGCCAAAACCAACTGGCCAGAAAACGGATCCTGCAGCCAGCACCGCTGTGTTGCAGGCCGTCAAAAAGCATGCCAATGCCCAGACAGGAAAATACCCAAAACCAACCAATGACAGAAGGGCTGAATCATAAGCCCGCCCTGACAGCAGTGATGATGAAAATTCTTCGAGTTAAATGCGCGTGAAATGCTTAAAGCATTATTAACGTATCTCCTGACGGCGAAAAGTAGACACTTTTGAAATAGCGAATTACTATGAAGCGGGATATTTAATGCTGTCTCCAGTACAATGTAGGACGAAATGGTCGCATAGCCCCATACCGCGCATTCTGTACGCATGCGGTGCAGTGCACTTGTACGAACCGGATATTTTCAAAATATCCGGTATTCAAAAAAAAAAAATATTCAAAATATTGTTTTGAACTCAGTCGTACAGTGCACTGTACTGCATTCGTACTGAATGTGGACATGTTGGGTATGCGACGATTTCGTCCTAAGCTGTAGTTTTCGTTTTCTAACAGTATTTTTATCCCTGAATGTTTTACTCTGTGTTATATAAATACAGCATGGTAGTGCTAACAGTTTCTGTTCCTGTGGCGTCGAGAATGAAAATATTAAGATAACAAAAACTTTCAAACATTTACCGCGTCATCCAGTCCAATTTTATTGACCGCAGCGAGCCGACCACAAGCGGCTAGCGGGAAATTAGTACTCTAAAATCAAGTTTGTTTAGAGTTTGATGCATACAGTATGCTATTCATTCTTTTGTATTTACACGGCGTCGAGTTTCTTCTAAGAGTGGTAACCGCCAAACCAAAAACATAATACGTGGGAATTCTGATTATAGGCGAATGCGATAATTATTATTTACTAAATAATAAACAAAGTCACCAAGCTCAGTAATTCTTATTAATGAATTTCTGTACATTTTCTTTAGCTCTGTCAGTGTAAGCTCTGGATTTAACCGTTACGCAATATTTACTAATTTACTGACGCCACCCAGCAGTTTAAAGAATTTTGTACAGGTACAGCAAAAGCGCGGTACGGTACAGACGCATTGCATTTAATCGTGTCAGTGCACTGAGTGCACCGAATGAAAAGATCATATACCACATGAAAGATGAAAGCTTGACAAAGGTTAAATTTACAAATATGGCTGTATAACCATCCGCCGTCATAACGATGTCATTGCGAAGTCTGTCTAACCAGTAAGCGGGGTCACCGGGCGCCAACGCGCAGACGTCAATTATATATGGTACCATCTGCGCGAACGTCCGGACAAGCGTTGCGCTGGCGGCACGGGATGTAGCCTCCTTCCGGTAGGGTCGCAACCGGCTCCATCGTGCACACGTCCACTAAAAAACACCCAAACTGTACTTGATTGTCAAAAAAAATGTAAATTTAGCACAGCGGATATTCCACCGGAAATGCAATGCAGACCAAATAAGCTAACATACCGGAGAAAATTTTTAAACTCTCTGACACACCGGATCATCTGTGGTAATCATATATGATTGCTAAGACAGTAACTGTCGCGCTCACCGTGCCATATTTCTCCAGCCTTAGCGTACCGATCGCGAACAGGTTCGGTCTGGTTCACTGGAGCCATATGGAAGCGATATGGCAGAACGTCGCGGAGGTTGCGGTTATTCTTCCAAGCCCAGTGGTGCGAGAAGCAGCACTGCGTCTGGACAAAATCGCTGTCCACATGTCCTGCCCGGCAGTTCCGGCAGTGAGGATCGCCGTCCACAGGGCACCTGACCTCCCCGGGCTTGAGAGAATCATCAAAATTATTCGCATCCTTTCCTTGAGCGTAAAGGTCATGGTTAGCTCTACCACCCGGAATGGGTTCTTCGATGAGGACATAAGGTGTGATGCCAGCCGGTTGACCTGGCGGGATGCTGTAAAGGATGTCGTCGCCGTTGACGGTCAAAGACAATGTCAGACCGAATATAAACAGCATCAAGATAACAAACATTCTCTTAGAACACGTAGATTTCTCTGTTTAAAACTTTAACTTAAAACGTCGCTGGTAACGGTTTGCTCAAGCATGTGTATGCGGTGAGCGCTTTATATGCCGCATTGCTCGGCCAGCTGCGTGCTTTCGTCAGCTTATACAGCGAACGAACCGCCACTGTTTCCAGGCAGAATGCCAGGCACCGTCCGCCGTACTGCAGAGTTACCTAAATTCAAGTGCTTTTCTCCACAGCTGCACAAGCAATGCGCTGACTGTGAACGTACCTACTGCGAATAACTGGCAATAAACCCGTAGGTTTGTTAAGTGGTGATGGAAAAGCGGGCACTGTCAGCTATAAAATGGTCGAAATTCTAGTATGCTCACTCTGCATGTACGTGTTCAGCGTAATTGCTCAGAATTTGTCCAAATTCCACGATTCGGAGTGCTTTATCGTTGACAGCTTTTCGACAATCCACCACCCTATTGAAGAATCTACGGGTTTATGGACAAGTGTTCAAAGAAGGCATTTTCAATGTCAGCAGAGGCCCGGTGCAGACACGGAAGTGGCATTAAAAATGAAGCGTCCACTTTATTAGTCAAATCATACGTAGTAGCAAATTGAGGAAAGAAACACACAAAGTACAACAAGAAAATTTCGTTCAGTTTATGCAGCCCTTCCATCGTGCCCAGCACAGACGCCGCTTTACCCCGTCGAATTTCTATTGACAGGCGCTGTCGTAAAAGTTGATGCTAGCGTGCTTCGGTTGTTTGCTACTGAAGAAATTAGAAATATCACTTCAAATTTGCAGTGCTAGCAGATAAATTCATGGATAGTGAGAAGGTGAAATTTTCTAAGTAAGCCAAAAACATTTACGAGCAGCCTGGCAAGATATCTCCACAAACTCCACTAAACTCATGAGATTTGGCTTCTGTCGTGCGATATCAATAAACATACATTAAGACCTTGTCCCGAATTCAAAGCGAATCTCGCTATGGTACGGTTGCTCAACCGCACGAGGTGGCTGTATACAGTGGCCAGGCCTATAGATACGGTACGCGAAGCCACCTCGCGAGGTAGAGTTGCTGTATCGCAACGAGATTCGCTTTGAACTCGGGACGAGGCCTTAGTATGCTATTTATACATCATACTAGCAGGACCTACTGTATACAGGCCTAATAAGACGCCTGTGCAGTACGTAAAATGTACCTATTTTTTATCATTATCAAAATCTATCGTGGAAGATGGGTTTACAAAGTGTAACTGGAAACAGAAGCAGACTACTGCAACGACCGTGCAGCTCAAGCCATATCAAGCCATACTGCACTGTATTGTTCCATGCACGCTGTGCTGTGCTGTATTGACTTTCTTCTGAAATCTAATCCGCTTTAATTACCTACGAAGCCATTATTTGTTTTCTACCTTAATCTCCGTGTTGTAATATTAACGTGGGGCTTTCTATGGAACGAAGAATCACAAGGAAGCCCTTATACCAGTACTGTTGAGGCGCTGACAGGCGGAAATAAACGCCTGGGTTATTCTCCTTTTGCGTACGGTTCTTAGATTTCGGAAACTGTTTTGAGAGTTTTTGAGTTTTGACCGTTTTCGAAGAATGCTTAATGTTGAGGTCTAACAAAATTGTTAACGAAAAATTGTTGATACAAAATTGTTAACGACAGTGTTGGCGTAGCAGCAGGTGAAGTGGGAAAACAACAGTTATCGCAAAAACCTTTCCAGTTTAGAATTTTCCACTTGTTTTTTTCGTCTTGTGGCAGAAATATGTTTCAGAAAATTCGCTTATTTTATTTTGTATTAAAAGCTGTGTTTAATAATAACGGCAACTCTGAAAATCAACCCAAATTAATCCAGCATTCCGATGTTCTGCATTGGCAACTACATATACATAACTGTCTGATCAACTTCGACGTCATCGAACCTCTTATTAGGCCTGTATACAGTAGGTCCTGATACTAGTTACACAAATAATAGTTAATCATACATTTAATTATGCCTTCTTTAAGAATATACTCGTATGTCCTACAGATAGTTGCATCGCTAAGTTGGGCAACTTTTATCTCAGAAAATCAAATCAAATAAACTACGACATTATTAAATCCCTAAAAATTTTGCAGTTGCTCGGTGAGATGTCTCCGACTTGAGTTTGGCAATTGCAGTGCGAAAAGAATAAGAATAATACTAGCATGTGTCTGAGAAAGGTCTGGTCCGCGCTTGATGGAAACAAAACACCGGCCATTACCTGTAATATTAAAAGCGATTATTGCATTTGCTTGTTCCAAATGCCTTTCAAATGCAGCACTACACCGGAAGTGTGGTTTTCTGCAGATGGAGAGTTCCCTTTCTACACACTCACAGTCTCATTGTTTGGAACTTTGGGGAAGGCCTTCGCTAAAATGATTCGTTTTATTGGCAGAAGAATACTGCGGAGTGACGGGGGAAGACCAACCGACGTTCCCATAGACAAGCTTTACATCTAACTGCTGTTACAGGAAATGCGGCTGCTACTTTGGGTACATTATTGCGCGACCGAAAGTTCATGATAATGATTTTGGTGATGATTTTCAGGCAGTGCGGCTTATCCCATAACGGGGACTGAACCCGATACAAGTCGAACTATAGTAGCCATGTATAATTATCATATCAGAGGATTTTCCAAGCAGGTGCAATCGTGGCTGATGCTATAACTGTTATGTAGTGGAGATAAGGAGAAGGTGTACTGAATAACCAGATGGCGGCCAAGTTAAGGGATTTGGCCCGGTACATAGCACCAAATTTTTTCGCTTTATTAATAACCAACACACATTTCTGGTAAGAAAAGGGAACACGTGATATTGTTTACAACAGCAAAACTTCATTCAAACTATCCACTCCATCCATCGTACCAAGGATAGATGCTGCATTTCCGCGTTGAATCTCCAGCGATAGTCGTTGGCGCAGGAACTCATGTGATCGACGCTCTCCTGTGTGCTGTTGCAGCCTTTTTCCCAGTTCCTTCACAATAGCGATAGCCGCCGGACCCCAAGGGCCCATCGTCTCAAAACCAATCGGGGAAAAGATGTAACGCCCTTCCAGATACGAGTATAAATGGGATTCGCACCAAATTCGTGTACATACACGGGAATATTCGCTTTCGCGCACTTCCAAACACATTTTTGGGTTGCTTTTTGACACTGTGTAGCCAAATGTTTTGTTTACATAGGCGTGAAATCCGTTTTTGCGCGCAACATCCGGTTCGGGAGCTATGGCTGTTAGAAAATACCAAAAAGTATAAATGCATTCAGGTGTACCAAAAGTCTCATTATGGACCGATCCCTTTCAAATTTTGCACGTAAATGATCATAACCATGAAGATCGTACCGGGCCAAATCCCTTAAGAGGTTTGATTTTTAGATCTTACTGGTAGAATGCTTGCGGGCCAGCAGCAGGGTGTTTGTGTCGTAGCTTCTGTAAGCGTCTTAGAAAATTTGCGCTCTATAGTGACTTAAATTTAAGTAAGCAGATTACAAGGCATCCAGAAGATGAACACATGCGTCGCAAAATTGCAAAACCATGTCATTTTCATTACCGTGTATTGTGTAGCTAAACGATCTAACTCGATGTAGCCGTCTGCAGTTAAAATGCCGGAATTGTGACCATATGTTTACAATTATTTAATTGGTCTGTGATTAATGACGAAGTTTGGTGTCATTTTTGCGATGATATGAATAGTCGGTAACACGACTAACGGCTCAACTATCGCGATATTTGAGCTTTAAGTAAATAAAATACGAATTCCGAAAGTTTAGAGACAAGATCTGTGTGTGAACCGACTTCGTAATAGGCAAAATTGTTCAAATGCTTTTTTCAACCAGATATTTTCGTAGAATACGGAACTCCGTAATTGTTCGAAGAGATCCTTTTGCTGGTAGTCTTGCTCTGTCCCATACATCAATACTGACAAGAATTTATTCGCGGTAGCAATGCTGAATATTGGATAAAAATATCATTTAACACACGCGCACACACGGGAGAGAAGAGGCTTAATAAAGATTACATTGGACATATTGTTGTACAGCGAGCCGCAGTTAGAAAAATAGGATTATCAAGACTGCCTAACCAATAACACGGGTTACCGGGTGCCAACGTACAGACGTCAATTGATGGTTCCATCTGGTCTAACGTCCGGGCAAGCGTTGCGCTGGCGGCACGGGATGTAGCCTCCCTTCGGAAGGGTCGCAACTGACTCATTCGTGCACACATCCACTACATCACATTAACATTAACACCCAAACTGCACTTGATTGCTAGCGCGACGTAAATTACAATGTCATGCGGACTGAACAGGCCAACGGGCCGGAAAATATTAAACGCGCACATGCTAGATCATCAGTGACAATCGTACTCTTACCGCAGTGCTAAGAAAGTGAACCAGTTGCGCTTACCGTGCCATATTTCGCCAGCCGTCGCGTACCGGTCGCGATCCGGTTCGTTCTGGATTAGTGGGGACAAATGGAAGCGATATGGCAAAACGTCGCGGAGGCTGCGGTTATTTTTCCAGGCCCAGTGGTGCGAGAAACAGCACTGGGTCTGTACAAAGTCACTATCCGCATGGCCTGGCACGCAGTCCCGACAGTGAGGATCACCGTCCACAGGACACCTGATCTGCCCCGGGTTGAGCTCATCATTGGCAAGTGCCTCGTTTCTGTTCCCGTCAAAGCCATATCGATCGCGGTTGGCTTCACCGTGCGGGTGGGGTTGTTCGATGAGGACGTAAGGTGTCAGGCCATCCGGTTGACCTGGCGGGGTGCTGTACTCGATGTAGTCGCCGTTGACTGTCAAAGACAGTGTCAGACCGGTTACAAAAGGCATCAGTATAACAAACATCCTTTTAGCAAAGCTTTCTCCGTTTAACGTAACACTCCGCTGATAATGTTCTGTTCAAGCGTGTTTCTGGGAACGCGGTAAGCGCTTTATATACCACATTGATCGGCTAGGTTTGTGTTATCGTCAGCTTATACCGCGAACGTACCGCCGCTTTTTCTCAGTAGATGCCAAGCACTGTCCATCGTGCAGTCTAGACAATTTCATAAACTCAAGTGCCTTTCCCGCAGCTGCACTGACAATTCGCTGACTGTGAAATTACCTACTGCGAATACTTGGCAACCAACCCGTAGGGTTGTTAAGTGTTGATGGAAAAGCCGGCACTGTCAGCTGAAATGATCCAGGAATGCAGACTCTGCAAGGTTACTCAATGTCATTACTCAGAATTTGCTAGTTTCTGCGAAAGAGTCGGTGCCTTGTACGCCCGGCGATGGGCGACGGGCTGCGACCAACTCCACAATTCCAAATTCTTTTATCGCTTACAGCGTTTTGACAATCCAGCAGCCACTTTAAAAATCTACGGTTTTTTGGACAGGTGTTGAAAGAAGGCACCTTTTTCAACTGTCAATTACCTTGAAAATTTTCCAATGGCCTACCCAAAAGCCTACCCAAATGGTGATACCAAACTTTTGAAAAATTTTCTTATCGCATTTTCCACTTTTTTTGGACCATCGGAATCTCCTGCCTTTTTGATCGCAAAATTTCCTTCCTTTTTTCACCATCGAAATTTCCTTCCTCTTTCTGATCAAAGCAGATTCCTTCCTTTAATTATTCCTTCCTCTTTTTGATGAACACAGATTCCTTCCTTTAATTACTCCTTCCTCTTTTTGATGAAAACAGATTCCTTCCTTTAATTATTCCTTCCTCTTTTTGACCAAAAAACATTCCTTTATTTATTTATTCCTTCCTCTTTTCAACCTTAGGCGTTGGCTGCTTCGGCGGCAGCGTACGTTAGGGCTCTGTCACTTTCTTCTGCGAGCTTGCACTTTTGCGGTTTTGCCTGTGTTTCTGTCAGTCAACCATAGGCCAAGCAGTTTATCATTCCTGAATAGAGTGCACGGTCTTCACTCTGCACATCCACTCGGTTTCCTGGCTTTTGAACATAGACTGTCGCCTCCTGATCGCATTGTAGATATTCAAGAGAAAGTTGAAAAGTACAGATTTTGCAGTCCTTATTTTGGTGCCTCTCTCTGCCGCGAACTAAACTGACGGCATTTTAAGACTATCCGATGACTCATTACTGAGGCCCGAATCATTACTGACGGTGAAAGCATGAACGCGACATCGCTGTACTTTCGCAGGCTGGTCACGGGTTCTCGTGAAGTGAACTACGGGAACACGGTGCTGGTGCACCGCGACACCGGCCAGTGGTGGCTGGGATACGTTCAGGATATTGACGGCGATTACTTCCTCGTTGATTTCGACGCCAGAACAATCAAGGCCCAATGGATTCATTCTCAACACCTTTGGCCACACCATTTCCTACCCAAAACTGGGATATCACGTCGTGGTTCCTCGGTGTACGTAGCGGTGCATCCTGTGGATGGAGAGCCAAGGGTATTTAGAAAGTGCACCATCCTCTGGCACGGGCAGAATATCTTCTGCGCTGGGCCCATGCTCAAACTCGGACTTGGACTCAGACTTGGACTACTAAAACTTGGACTTGGACTTCACTTGGACTCTAAAACTCGGACTTCACTTGGGCTCTAAAACTTGGACTTCACTTGGACTCTAAAACTCGGACCTTACTTGGACTCTAAAACTTGGACTTTATGACTTCGACTTGGAATTAGGCGTTTCTTATGTTTCTCATGTCTTCTTACGTCTCTTCATGTTTTCTTAGGTATTCTTAGGTTTCTTAGGTTTTCTTAGGTTTCCTTAGGTTTCTTAGGTTTCTTAGGTTTCTTAGGTTTCTTAGGTTTCTCAGGTTTCTTAGGGTTCTTAGGTTTCTTAGGCTTTTTAGGTTTTCTTAGGTTTAGTAGGTTTCTTAGGTTTCTTAGGTTTCTTAGGTTTCCTAGATTTCCTGGGTTTCCTAGGTTTCTTATGTTTCTAAGGTATTTTTAGGTGTTCTTAGGTTTTTAGGTCTCTTAGGTTTCTTAGGTTTCTTAGGCTTCTTAGGTTTCTTAGGTTTTTTTAGGTGTTCTTAGGTTTTTTAGGTCTCATAGGTTTCTTAGGTTTCTTGGGTTTCTGAATACCAAGGAATACCTAGATAACCTAAGAAATGTTAGTAACCTCAGAAACCTAAGAACACCCAACAAACCTAAGAAACTTAAGAAACCTAAGAAACCTGAGAAAACTAAGAAATCTGAGAAACCTGAGAAAACATGAAGAAACGTAAGAAGACATGAGAAACGCCTAAATCCAAGTCTAAGTCATAAAGTCCGTGTTTTAGAGTCCAAGTGAAGTCCAAGTTTTAGAGTCCAAGCGAAGTCCGAGTTTTAGAGTCCAATTGAAGTCCCAAGTTTTAGAGTCCAAGTGAAGTCCAAGTCCAAGTTTTAGTAGTCCAAGTCCGAGTCCAAGTCCGAGATTGAGCGCGGGCCTCTGCGCTGTACGATTCGATGATCAGCGCCCTGCTGGAACCGATTTACTTTTTACAGCCTACCACATCGTTTTGTGGAATCATATCACTGAAGAGCTGCCTGTGCCAGGCGATGGTAAAAGCTTCTTCGGACGATCCATTGGCTTTCTGTACAAAAAACATGTCATCGAATTTCCCAAAGCTTACTTGTTGCCAGATATGGATTTCATTCCGCCGTTCGTAGAAGAGACATGCCAGCTATCGTTAAGCCAGGGTGATGGCCAGTGTCGTCCGGGCTGTCGGTTTTCGAAGTTTGTGTTGGGGGATACGATGCGCTTCACCTGCACAGAGCTGCACTGGGTGACAGGGTCGTCTTATTAAGTTATTATGTGGATGTTGGTTGTCGTCATTTTGCGCGGCTGGGATCCGATACCGTCACTTTCGTTTGCGCTGAAATGCGCTTGGATAAAGCCGAACGTAGTTTGTTCTGGAACAAAGAATCCTTGAAGGAAACCTGTCAGAATTATCTTTTACGGAGACAAATATCAGCGGCTTTTAGCGTGGAGACCACTCCGTGGGAGGCCCACCAATTTGGTGAGCAATGCATTGAGTTGTTCAAGGATTGTGCAACCATTATTCTACAGTACTTCGAGCCAGGGATTTCCGAATTATTCAAAAACAGTAGCATTTACTTCGCAGTTTTTAGATGTCAGGATTGCGATAATTAATAAATTATTGAAATTAACTATAATATAATTCATTATAAAAATAATTTATAATGTAAATGCCAGAAGCTAAATTTTAGGCTAATGACTTGCAAGTTTCTCCAAGGTTAGCTTACTTGCATTTTGTTAACTTTTCGGGTGCTTTTAACGTTTACTTTTATTAGGTAAAGTACATATTTGAAAGTTCTTAACAAGTCACTCTACAAACTTTAGCCTACTCAGCAAGTGCTTTGTAATGTCTGCTCCAAATGGATAAGTAACTCATCAAATTTGCTGTTTATTTTGTGATATTATGTTGGGACTTTTGCGGACATAAATACGTACATAAGCCTATTAAACAAATAAAATAGTCAAGTATTAATAAATAAATAAATAAAATTAATAATTATGGAAAAGTTACTTAAAAATTTGCAAATATTTTACCAGATATGAGGACACGGTCATTACGGAGCTTCCGCATCCGATCCTCGGACGCTGGCCTATCCGGATCAGTGGACGGGAATTCGAATTTTTCTGCAACTGTGAGCCACATTTACGTTAGGCTGATACAGCAGTGGAAAATCAGGTGAACTGCGAGTATTTTTCAGGTTTAACAGTTTCCACCAGGATAACGACCCACAGCGGTGGAATACGATGGATCTCCGACTACTGGATCTTGCTTCTCTGACGAACATAACTTTTGCAGCCCTTGATGGATGCCTAAAGAATTAGAACAGACAACTGAAACGTTGAATGATACACAGTTATATATACGTTTCACTGAAACGGTTTCAGCTTTGTAAGCTTCGGAAAGGTTATGCACTGATCCATCATTTTATTCTCCGTTGAATGGTTATTAACCCTCGATCAGAAACCTTGTAGTGCTAATTTCGTAACCTATATTTTGCTGTTTATTTAGAATAATACCCAGCATACTTTGTCGTTTCTCCTCCTATTCAAAAACAAACCCATTCTGTTGAGAAAGCCAGTGGTTCGCTAGTTTTCTGATGTGGGTTGACTAGAAGCACTTATTTTTATCAGATTACCATGCGAGCGTGCAGATTTATTGCAAACTGACCCTGCTATTGCGAAATCTAACTTAAGTTTCGGTCTTCTTTCCTGTGCACGGGTCGATGCAATGCAGTCGATCTGGTCATCCATCTATGCACTGTTTATCGAATTTGTCAAGCGCAAGAGTAACTAAATTCATGGTCTTGGACCATTTCTGGACCTACAGAGTCTCCTGTGCTGTTTATATTGGTTGTTGTTTTAGGTCTTCTAATGTTTTTTGCGCGGAGCACACTGTGCTGACAGTAGACCAGACGGCGGAAGATACCGCGGCCACTCACCTCCACGTGCCGTTGCTAACCAGTAAGCACCGGCACGTGGAGCGGAATTGTCGTCCGTTGTGTTAAGAGCCTGGCTGGCATTGCCTGATTTACACACTGTAGTATGGACGTTCTGAATGGTCAACCGCTCAAACCCATGAAACCTGATTTCCGTGCTTGCACAGATTAGTGATACTCCACTAGGATACTCCACTAGGACCTTATAATATCTGTACAAAGGTACCGCAGGTTGCAGGTCTAGCGATATTCAGCTGACAGCTCATCAAATTTGTCCTCAAATATTGTTCGATCAGGTTTTCGTTGCTTTTAAAATTTGACGTCACGTATACTCGTAATGGTAATACATATGTACAGTATATGGCGTAATTTCGGAAACATGTTTTATTGTTTTGCCGGTTACGGTCCAACAAAGGGAAAATTTGTAGGTTGTTTTTTATAACTCCCAGTGGAAGTCGCAAGCCAATGCGGCAGTGCGGTTATCGAATTTATTGACGAAGAACTGGTTGATCACCAACGGAACTGGTTGGGGCATGGAAGATGAGACACTGTTTGCCATGACCCGAATAACATTCGAAATCGTGAATTTTATTCTGGTTCTTTTGGAATGTGTTTCGCTTCAAAATGTGCAAGCCACAAGTGTTTCAGTTTAGCATCAAGTCGTTCTGTATGGAGAAAATAAAAGATACTATCGTATCGAACGTATCGAATATAAGTATCGAACATTCGAACTCAACGCCGAGTCAATATTTTGCGTGTTAGTATAGGCTGCCGTCCCTTGGTGACAGACCGTAATGCACCGACACAGTTAACGAGCTTTGTTGCCGAAAAAAACAGCCGTACTTTGCAATTGCTTTATTCGGCTAGTTGTTTCTTACTCAGGTGCATCCGCGTCGTGCTCATTTAGCCCATGTCTGGACCGTCTGGTCTGCAGCTGTCCGCCTGCGCAATAGAGAGCCATAACAGCCAGGGCAGAGTGCAGACTAAGCTGTGAATCTAGGGCGAGCTGCTTCAGCGCTTTGTACTTGGCCGTCAATCAGTGACCCAGTTTGTGTAAATGGGGTCATTGTGGCTTTTAAGCTTTCGCCAGTCTTCGTGTGTCTTTTTTCACGTTCGCAGATTTACTCAGTGAGGGATTTATTTTGATACCAGTCGTTTTGTGGGCACCTTAAAAATAACCTGATTTGCAATTACGCACGGACTACGGAGGTACTCAGCAATCTGTTCATGTTACAAAAAAGACGCATAACCCCAAACCCAGATATCCGTACGCATGTGGCACGTGCACTTGTACGACAACCGAATACTTTCCCTGAGTCGTACAGCGCACTGCGCCGCATGCGTTCGGAATGCTGTGTGTGGGATTATGCGTCTTTTTTGTCCTAAGCTGTAGCTTGACGTTTTGGCTAATATAATGCGCTTATGATACGATTGTTTCGCGAGTTTTAGTTTTTGCGGCCGTCCCAATCGTTGCTCAAAGTGCCAACATGAACGCGACATCGCTGTACTTTCGCAAGCTGTTCACGGGATCTCGAGAAGTGAACTACGGAAACACGGTACTGGTGCAGCGCGACAGCGGCCAATGGTGGCTGGGATACGTTCAGGATATTGACGGCGATTACTTCCTTGTTGATTTCGACGCCAGCTTCAAGGCCCAACTGATTCATTCTCAATATCTTTGGCCACACCATTTCCTATCCAAAACTGGGGTATCACGTCTAGGCTCCTCGGTGTATGTGGCGCTGCGCTCTACGGATGGGGACCCGATGGTTTTTAGAAAATGCACTATAGCCCGGGATCAGCAAAGTATCTTCTGCGCTGTCAAGCTGGATGACCAAAATCCACCTTCAACAGCCTGCCACATCGTTTTATGCAGTCACATCACTGAAAATCTGCCGGTGCCTGGCGATGGGGGAATTTTCTTCGGACCAGACACTGGATTCCTGTACAGAAAACATGTCATTGGATTTCCCAATGCTTATTTGTTGCCAGATATAGATTTCATCCCGACTTTTTTGGAAAATACGTGCCGGTTGTCTGTTGGTCTGACCGGCGGACAGAGTGGTACGAACTGTCAGTTCATCCGACCTATTACAAACGACGGGGAAGCGATATATCTTACTTTATAGGTGTCGGGTGTCGTTTTTTTGCACGGCTGGGATCCGATACAGTCACTTTCGTCTGTGCTGAGATACATTCAGGCGAACGCAGTATGTTCTGGGACGAGGATTCGCTGCTGGAAGCGTGTCAAAAGTATCTTACGGAGAAATCCACATCGGAATCTGTTACCACGGACATGACTTCGTTGATTGTCGGAAATTTTGGTAAATCTGAAATTACTTCCAGTTGAAAGACAGAACAAGCAGCATTTTGCATTCTGCAGTTTTTCGAGACATAAGACTTTGAAACTTGTGTTGAACTCAATAATTCATTCCTATCTGTACTTGCATTTAAACTTTTGAAAATTGGTTCGTTCATACCTTTTCAGCTTCATTCGTTATAATGCTTTTCGTCCTGCACAATTTGGGAAGGAAAATCTGCAATAATTGCTGAAGACTCAATCAGTTACCACTAGAAAAATTTGGATAGTAAACGACAGCTTGCAAAATAAACTTGATAATAAATAAGTAACTGCAGAAAATTAATAGTTGTTATATCGCAGATGTGGAAGACGTCACGATTAACGAGCTTCCGCATCCTATCATTGGTTATATATTACGCTATCTCGATGTGGATGCCCAGATGCAGACAAGCAGGTAATTCTCAGCCGTTCTTACATCTTATTTTAATTAAGTCGCATTCGACTACAAGGACGGTGCACCTTCATTTGATAGACCGACTTCCCGTTACATACTTTTAAATGACAGCTGTGTTCGTGGTTTTGGGCGTTGCCAACCACCCAAGGCCGACAGTGTCAACGAAAATCTGGCTGTCGATTGGGGTTACTGGCAGTGTTGCACAAACATGGCCACGGCTATCAGCTGATGCCACTTGAAGTTGATAATATTGACTACCAAGTCTATTAATTGATGGTACACCTTCCTCGTAATGATTTGATTTTAATTTTTTTCGCTGTGCGAAATCACTAAGCGTTTAAACTGCCATAAATTGGCATGAAATATTATCCTGCCTAGTTTTCTTATTACCGTATCCTTTCGCACAACGGCACAAGTCCACGTAACAGGATTAGACAGTGTTGCATTTTGCTGTTCTTCACCAGAGTATGTGTGCTGTGGAGTATGCTTTTGGGACACAACAAGGACAGCCGGTGCATTCTCTTCGATCTCTGCTCAGCGTGCAAAAGAGGATCACATGACCATAAATATCCCATCGAATACGATGCCTTTCTCAGGTACGAAGTGGTAACCATACTGCAGCACGCTAGTCGCAAATTCCCAAAAGCAGTAATTCTGACGGAGGACCGAAATCATCTCCACCCAGGATTCGATCTGACCTACCAAATGTTGTCAATTCGATCTGTTTTACAAGCCCTGAATGTCCGGCTGCCATTGATTATTGTGAAAAACAGTCGCAATAAGATGGGGTACTCTTTGGAATCATTCCTGGCCATCCGATGCAACTACCATAATGGCCATTTCGAATGCCCAGCGCTTTTAGAATTTCTGACCGTTTGCGACCGGTTGATACTGGTTAACTTCGCCGTGGCGGAAGCAATCACCGGGTCTGCGCTGCGCATGCTGCTCGCCGAATTAACGGTCTCGCATTCGGAGATAGCCTTCTTTCGCCGGGAGCGCGTCGATTGCGCCGTTACCATTCCGATACTGCGCTTCAACGTCTCGCAAACCGCGGCCGAACAGTGTCGAATGCTATTGGCAGCTACGGACGCCCATTGCCCGGCCGTTAGTCAGCGTGTGTACGAGAAGGTCCAAGCCATGCATGCACGATGGGTGCGGACGCTGGCCTATCCGGATCAGTGGAACGGCATTCGCACTTTCCTGCATTTGTGAGTAGCATTACGTTCGGCTACCGCTGAACATCAGTAGGTAATTAATATGAGGCATTGCATATTTCTCTTAGGGTTTAATAGGTTTAAGACTTCTTGTAGGTTTAAATCAGTCGTGTCAGATTTAAGTCTTAAACGTGATTTCATAAGCCTTCCCAGGTTGGAACTGTTTGACACGGAAATTATCTTTTTAGTGTGACAAAATTTAATTAAATAGTTTTAGGCGATGCAAAACCACTAAATTAGATAAACAATACAATAAAAAATTGTAAAAATTGAAGAAAATTTTTCGTTCCTGGTGAACTGGAGCTTAAAGGTAATTTTTAAAAAATTAATACTGTTGCGATAAGTTATGTTGCATTTTACAGGTTTTTTTCAAAAACCATTTTCTGTTTCAAATCAATTAAAAGTGATTCAAGTTTTTGAATTTCGACCATAGCTTTAACAATCTTCGCCTGGAGGACGATCCGCAGCGATGGAACACGATGGATCTGCGACAGCTGGATATTGCCTCTTTGACGAATGTGGCCTTGGCAGCTCTTGCTTGGTGCTATGCCGATCAAGACGGACATTGAAAAAAATCATGCACTGGGTCTCTGTTTTAGAGTTTCAGGCAGAAATTGTGGGATTCTAATTTCCCGACTGGTTTTCACACACTACCAGGTTGCCTCTCCTTGTTTTTTGTTCCCTTGTTCTCCGTTTATCTAATATGATGCGCTAACAACTTTTTCCTTGCTTTTGTTAAGCCAAAATCAGCGCATCTTGGTGGGAACTGGGAAGCTTAGTGGACTGTCGTGTTTAAATGGTGTGAAAAAGTAAACGCTATGCGACTTTTTGCCCGCGCTGCGCGAGATCCAGCTGGACATCATTGTTGAATGCCAGTGCCTTATACCGGCGCCGACTAATTCCTTTTAATGTGCTGCACTGTCAGCCTATCAGCATAGTTCAGGGCATCCTGTTCGAAAGCCTAACTGTCTTGTCGCAGCTACAATCATAAGGAAGTCTGCCAACAATGCAACATTACAGATTCTTTGCTGGTCTTTGATAATGATATTCCGCATGCAAAAACCTACCTGTGTTTCTTATGGTTTTGATAAAAAAATAAATACTGCCAGATATATGTATCATCTATATTTTTATGCAGAGTACTTTGACTCGGACAAGGTCAATTAAATTCACATGAAAACGTACTTGTAAACGAAAGACTATGAGGATATCGCAGCTTTTCTTAGTCTGTAAGGTCGATGCAGTCTGCCTGGAAATACCGGTCTTATATCGTTGTAATCGTTTGATCGTTGTAATCGTATGATCGCGATCTGCGCTTAGATTGGTCATGTTATCAGAGACCGGGCAAACAGAGATTCAATGTCAAGCACGCCAACGGAAATGTGGCTGATTCTCTGCAGTGCTACAATTATGCTGTATTGGTGTGTTTACCATTTACGCCCTGGATATCCATGTGCGATCACTAGCCCGTTATTACTGACATGTGTACGAATGGTTTTCTTGCGCGCTTTATATACATAACCAATCGGCTCGGAATCTTCTTATCCCTGTAACGTGAAGTGGAGGGACAGCAGCAATGACTCACAATCAGCTTGACAACCAGTATCGCCCAAAGAGCTCCCCGCGTACTCTTTCATTTGCGTTCCTATTGATTTTCTGCAGTTTTCTGGCATTGCATGAAGTCGCTAACGGCCAACTGCCCAATCTACTGTGCGGGAAGCGGTACCTCGACAAAGGCGACGTGATCAAGCTATGGTGCGAGGATGCCAAACTCACCATGCCGGAAACATTTAATTCCACGTCCGTTTTCCCGGAGATTACCAGCATTTACATTACATGTCCCAACGCGGAGACACGCAATTACTGCAACGTCATGCACACCAACGTATCAGCCTTGCCATATCGAGCCAATCTGTTCGATGTTCAGCTGCAGGGTTTTCAATCGGGTGATGATAACCCCATACCGGTTGGCAGGTTCTTGGCTAACAACAAGCTGGTCATCTATCGTTTACACATCAAGTTCTCCCGCATCGGTCGCGTGGATCGGAATTTCCTGGCCGGCTTTCACGCACTCAGATGGTTACACCTTGATGACAACGATATTGTCGATGTAAGTGTCGATGCTTTTGCGTCTGTGACCCCGGTTGGAGGTCGACCAGTGTTGGACGATATCAGGCTGGACAGGAACGCATTGCAGCGGCTGGACTGGGCAGCGTTTTATCCGCTAAGAAAATCCTTGGTAAGTGATCAGGGTCGTAACGCAAACCATTTAAGCAAAACCTGGTCATTCACCACTGGCAATACCTCTATGTTTTGAAAAATGATACTTCGCTTTCTGCAACAGATATTTTGTCTGTAAATACGCAGCCATACAAAGCGTACACATGTAAGAATAAGTTGGCGCAACATTTTCACCAACAGTGTTATCGTGTCAACAAAGTTGGCGTTAGCTTTACAACTGGAGAAAATTGGTCCCCTGATCTATTGTTCTGGCAGTCAGACGGCCAAAAAAAGAAACTTTTAAAAAGTATTTCTAGTATAAAACAGCGAAGTTCATTATTTCCCTTCGTTGTCCATAGTTGAAAACCGTATAAAAGTGCACTTGAGAGCACTAATAATTTATTCACTATGATAGTGGATGCTGACGCTCAGCAGTCAAACGCCCAAGCTGCGCGCATTGACACTAAGCACGACGCCTTTTCCCACAACCATCCGTATTTTGGACCTAACGCAGAATCTTTTGGAATCCGTCCCGAATTGGATACTGTATAATCGGAAGTGTCATTAAAGCGATGGCATTCTGCAGCGATCTGCGACAAACGAAACTGAATTCTTCAAAACCCATGAAACACCAAACGATGATCATTTATCAAAAATGGAAACTTACAGTTTAGGTTATGTAAAACAAAGATGCCTGGTTGTACGATGGTGTAGTATCTGAACCAGCAAGAGCAATATTAAATTTTACAGCAGCAGCCACGTAACAGTAAACTAATATTCGTTAAATAACAACCCATCAAATTTAAAAGATTTAAATAGTGTTATACGTAATACGTTAAACACCAGTGCAATTTCCGGTGTGCTCTGTCGCAATCGGTGAGCCAGCCATTTGAATTATGGTATCTGTACGCGACCAGTTTCTGGTTTAGATAAACAGGGGAAATATAAACAGAGTACAGGGAAGTACTATAATGAGTCACGCCAAGAGGCTTCCGACTCTTTTACTCAAGAAATTTATTTCACAGAATAGGAGTCCGAATACAATGCTACTGCCTTCAAACGATGCAGATGGTAGATATTAATTTCCACAATGAGCAGCAAGATCAGTATATAGAAGTAACAGTAATGAAGGAGCCGATAGCATGATAAAGGAGGAGCAACTGCCACGACGAAAATATGGAAAACACCAATTTTCTCGTTGACATCTGCTCACAATCCATAGCTGCGTGTAGGCGCATGGTCACCGCCTGATATAATTCATACTAGTAATTATCACGAAAAACTGCTCAAATGCTTGTATGAAAATATTGTATAAGCAAAGATGCCCAAAATAAAAATAGGAATCCACGAGCACATTTCGTATTAGATTGGCCTCAACCACACGGCTATTCCAAAAGGAAACTGTTTCAAATTATACAGTGAGCAAAACACCTGAGGCTTCCCAGTCTTCAACAATAAATGTTGCAACTTAAAGTCCGTCGATTCTGCCAGTACGGATAAATCTCGTGTTTGTGTGGCGCATCGGAAATCAGCGGGCAATGGCTCATCCCGGTTGTAATTCTCATATACGGAGTTTTCGTGATTCTTGTTATTCTAATGTTTTTCTTTTTGTTCCTTTGCCAGTTGCCACTAAGCAATTTTTCTCCTGTTTTTCCTGTTCAGTGCTGTTGCTTGCTGCTCTTCAGTTACGATTCCCTAGTTTGTTTTCAGTTGTTTTCCCGAACAATACGATACAATAAAGATAAAGTTACGATAATACAGTAGTACTCATAATACAATACCAAGCGCATGGCAAATCTTTATCTGATTGGTGAGGCAAATTTTGAAAACATAAAGCGAAAACATCATCTGCGGACTGCGGCTGTCTGTAATATTACACAATTGATGTTCGGACTCGTACTAACACCCTTTCGATTAATTTTCACGTTACAAATTTTCAAATCGCACAGATCAAAAGTGTGGACTGGGAGCAATTAAACCGATCAAAAGTTCTATGTTCCAGGCATATAAGCACTATAAACGGGATTTGTAATTGAACTAAATGGAAGCTGGCACCGCGACTGTCCAAGTTTGCTTTGCAACAGGTTGTTTAGTTCATAGAATGATGGATAGCGCCATAGTTCCAAATCTGACTGGCACTGCATTTCGGGATACGTCAGGGTAAAAGTAAATCTGGAAGCGTCGCGCCTGTGAAAGTGAAGCAAGCATTGTTAGTTTTATGAGTAATACCTGCCGACTGTCAGGGTGTTTGGTACTGTAACATAGCGCAGAGAAAGCTGTTATATAACGCTTTTGTAGTAAATTTCACGGTGTTGCCGTGCCAGCGCTCAAACTTACCCTTTGGTTGTTTTCAAATTGTCATCGCGCTCCGTTACAGTTATGGTTAGTGTGATATTGTTCGTTGTCAGGTTGTTCGCAACGGTAAAGGCTTGCTGTATTGCATCCAATATTTTATCAGAATTCTGCGAAGAAATAGTCCAAGATGTAACAGCTTTTTATGGTGCAAGTGAATATTCGAGGTGATCGCGGTATTTGATGTCGATAGTATGTAACGTCCACGGTCGTGCCATGGAATTATTTAGTGTATGCTTACCTCGAAAACGCGGCTAAAAGGAAAAATTTTAAGATAACGAAGAGAGCGATCTTGAGGATCTCTTCTCTCGACCATAAGTTTTCAAGTTGATGTACAATGAACGGGTACACAGATGTAAAGAATATAATAAGGCAAATGGACTTAAGGAGAATACTTTGAAAAAATTTATTTAATTGTACAGAAGATAAAGTTAAATAGTAAGAACTGTAACGAGCACCCATCGCAATTTGCGCTTGCGTACCGATGTGCAGGGTAGAATTAGTGACCGGTGTAGTTCAATCGACTGGCATGAACACATTTACAGCTTACCGGCATCTCCTTGATACACCCGTTTGGCAGGTACTGTAAGTGTGAAACATACGATACCCCCTCGACGTACAAGGTAAACGTTTTCTTCATCAGTCTGTTCTTCAATCGGTAAAAAAAATTCCTGCTTCATCCTCTTGGCATTGCGCGGAGATTGGTGCTTTAATCATTTCCTGCCAGTAACTGGGTAAAGGAAATGTCATCAGCGTATAGGTAACATTAGTCGGCGGTACGCGAAGCTGGAGACCAATCAGACCAACGAGTTTGCGGTAGATGTTGGCGGCATAAGGGAGCCTCGCATCCAAGGCCACTCTTAGCGGCGATGCCGGGTACGGTAGCAGCACAAAAAACTTGACAACCCTATTTTCCGTATCAAAGCCCCACAGACGCACTTCCGCTGGGAAGCTATTACCTAGAAAAACAGTATTTACCGGCACATTCCTTGTTCACAGGTAAATCGTTGTGTGAGTATTCACCCATGCCCATGTTCAGTTGCGACTGCACTACTTCCACCAGCGGCAACCACTGGACGCTCAGTGGACGATCCAGGTGCATGCGGAAGAAAAGGCCGTATTCAGTGGGGGGTTGCCCACTATACGAATATCGGTGATGTTGAGATCTTTCTCGAGCCGCGTTTTCGAAACGAGATAGTAGCGATCCGTATGTTTGAGCAGCGGGAGCACGCTGATAAAATCGCGGACTAAGATCTTCTCCCGCGTGCGAATGACAAAAGGTATGGACATACCTATCACGCTGCTCAAAAAGGGAACGGAGTGTAACATTCAACAACCAATCTCACAGAAAAGCAGGCAAACAATTTAGGCAGTCATGCTATCATCTATCCAATGTACCAATGTTTTTTCGATAAAGCTCACGTTCAGTTAGGTCTCAGAATAAAACCGATCCGATCAGTTGGGCCTCTCAATTTGCAGTACGTCTGCCTTAATGGCAAATTTACTCCTATCAGTATTTAAATTAATGTTGAAGCTGCAATGTTAATATTCTATAATTCATATCGTTAGTTTATAATTTTGGTTGATATTTTGCATGCATCAGCCATGTCAAATGCGTACAAAGCTTACATAGTGTGACGGGGGGCGCCTTACTATTTAGTTTGGCTTAACCCGTGAATGTGTATCTGTCGCTGCGTTAATCCGATAGAAATTACGGGACGTGCTTGTATTATTGTATACCCATTGTATGACTGCAGACTTATTATAGCCTTTTGAGCAATATGAGGGCTGAAGGGGAATTTTCTCTTACCTATCAGGACTGTAAATAATGTGAACTCTCTCCCTGTTCATTCTTGTGTATTTTACAAAATCGTAAACTGCGTTTATGTAACTGTAATTAGTACCGGCAGGGGTCTCAGAGGTCATTGTTGCATTGAAAAACTAGTCTTACTTTGTAAAGGAGCCATTAATCCTCGTGGCAGGATTCCCGGCTGGAGTTGGCCAAAATTAATTTCCCAGTCGCTCATGCCGGCATTACTACACTGTTGTTTAAAGCGCGATTGCTGAACAACTTCCATCATATCCGCTTTTAACTGGTTAATATCCAAGAAGCTGTCTGTTGAATTGGCCCGCAGGAAAACATAGTCCAGAGCCCGCAACCGTGCCTTCATGTTGCAGTGCTCTGAAGAAATTCAACTCCTTCAGGGGTGGTACCGTAAATCACAAAACGATCAAAGAAATGCGTCGGTCTGCTTGGTGATCCGTTTGAGAACATCCAGTCGCTGCCAATTTGCATTTCGCCGTGTTCTGATTCAGTACAGTCTTTTGCTCGCTTCTTCTTTATTGCAGTATGTGATCGTGTGCAAGTCGTCGTAGACATCGCGAGAGTAGGTGTACGATGCAACTGTTTTCATCGCCAAATTTCGAGTAGGCACGCCACACATGCGTGTTGTGCTGAGTCACTGCTAAATGTGACACGATGTTCGTTCTCGACAGTGCACGTCGCGAGAATAATAATCGGCAGGCACAAGGACCATTTGACTGTGTTAGAAAGCTGTCCAGCTTGAAAGAATCTCGCAGGTATCTTTTGTCTTCGTTATTACAAACGTTATGCATTGCCCATTCGTTTTAACTCTGAGCGCCTGAAGTCACGTTATAGCTCGTGACTTGCACATCAACCGAGAAACAAAAACAAATCCCGGAAACGAGTTTTTGATAGCATAGTGTTTGGCACTGTGTGCTGAACAGTGCGAGATCATTCCGGAAATGCTGAACAAGGCTTCCCACAACGGCGTTCAAATTGTTTGCCAGTACTCGAACCGAATTCCTTGTACCTACAGTGAGTAACAAACGCTGCGCAATCAATCACATGGGTATACTCTAATTCTTTACCATTGGCGCTGAAATATTAACCGGATTTCACAACAACTAGCTGACTTTGCTTCTGGCGCAAATGGCGTGCCGCGTACGCATATATTATTTAATACGAAGTCGTGCCAGATAAAGCTTGCTGATGTACCGCCAGTACCAGTTAAGCCAAATCCGCAGTTTTGATTTAAACCATGAGGACTATATTAGAAAACTTGCTCCGGTTCCGTGGCGTATCAAGGTCAACTGCGGCACCGATTTTCATTTCTGTTCTGACTTTGTCTGTGCCAGTCGTGTCACCCATCAAGATTATAACTTCTAGTAACATTCCAAATCCGTTCTTTGACAGTACAAAAATACTTGATCAAGTCAACGAATTACGTACGTATCTCCTGTCTAGTTAAAACCATGAAACTAAAAAATTGGTTTATCTACTATGCGCTTCGGTCACCTATACGGAATCAGGTCTGGAAACGGTTGAGCGTTACTCATAAAAATAGTCAACCGTTGAATTGATTATTTCCAGTCCTTCTGCATTTATAAAATTATATTTTAAATTTATTTCAGTATTTTTCCCGGAGGACGAATGACATCTTTGTACAGTGTACACTTGTAGGCGAGAACGAAACCTTCCCCGGAACACTCAGCCTGTGCCCGGATTCGGACACGAAACTGCTCAATGCCAGCACAGGACAGCGGCACTACGATGACCTTCGGTCTTTACGTGGGAGGAGCAGTACAACCTTCAATGCGCCGCTCAGCTATATTATGCACAATTTTCAGACGTTCCTCGAGCTGAAGGAATATGTCGGCCTGCATGAGGTTGCGCTACAGACCAACAACCGAACAGCAGCTGAACTGCAGGAAGCTCTCACTTACGTCTGGCTGCCCAGTCTCGGTATGATTGACTACAGTGTAGTTCTGTAGATATACTTCTTCTTTTAAGACGGAATATTTCAGAAAAGAGTGTATTTCAGAAAAGAGCAACTGGACAGCGACGCACGCCGAAATCCTGGAGATCCACAACGGAACCATTCATTTCTCGAGAGACGGGTAATCATGCGTTTGCCTTGTATTGGAATACAATATATGAGAGTTTGCAGGTCGCCGTTGATGGTTATTCGCTACATTCTACCGGTGTCCGATGCCATATCTCCGGCGAATTGTTCCAGCCATCTGCAGCGGTTTCCCTGGATGTACGCAAGCAACTCCAAATACCACGAATTAACCCCCATTGTTCCACCTTTGATCGGCAGTTTGGTACAGCGGATGCAGGAGAATGGTTTAACAGTTTACGAAGGTCCAGTATTTTACAAGGACAATGGTGCTCTGGACTATGTTTTCCTGCGGGCAAATTCTACAGACAGCTTCTTGGATATTGACCAGTTGAAGGCGGATATGACGGAAGTTGTTCAGCAATCGCGTTTTAAACAACAGTGTGGTAGTGCCGGCATGAGCGACTGGGAAATTCATTTTGGCCAGCTCCAGCCGGGAATCGTGCCCTCGAGGGATAATGGCTCCTTTACTTAGTAAGACTAGTTTTTCAATGCAAGATTGACCGGTGGAATCGCTGCCGGCATTAGTTACAGTTACATAATCACAGTTTACGATTCTGTAAAATACACAAAAATAAACAAGAAAGGTCACGCTATTTACAGTCCTGATAGAAATTCACGGGTTACGTACGTCAAACCCCGTATTACGCCGCGCATCGTCACACTATGTAAGTACTATGTACCTACGCGCCACGCTTTGCACGCATTTTACATGGCTGATGCGTGCCAAATATCAATCCAAATTATAAACTAACGATATAAAATATAGAACAGGAACTTTGCAGCTTCAATATTTTTAATATTTATTATTTTAATATTTTTAATAATCTCTAATATTACCTTAATAAATATTGAGAGGAGTAAATTTGCCATTATAGTAGACGTAGCATAATAGCAACTGAAGAGACCTAACTAACTGTCGGACCGGCTTTATTCTGACCTGGGACCCGTTAGAGTCTCCCCCTCAGAAAAATTTCATTCTTTGTTTTAAGACAGAGTCGGTACTAAGTATTGGAAAATATTAAGAAAGTATTTTCATTGGCAGTGGTTTAGTGGGCGTGGCCAAAAACAAAATTAAAAGACGTATGTATTGCCAGTGTATGTTTTGTACTGGCAGTGGGTACGTTATACATAGTTAATGTACCTACAAAACATGTATTTCCAGTAAATGCTGTTTATCATGCTGGTGAAAACTCCTACTAGTATTTTGACTTTTTTTTCGCTAAATTTTACTTTGAAATAACTGGCTTGACAAGGAAAACAACATTTGGTAAACCTTCGCGCTTACATACAGCGCACGAGTGGTGCAACAGAAATACAGAGGTTAAGAAATGCGATCAAATCAAATCGAACACCAACGAGATTTTCCAAAATGTATATTATAAAACCAGTTACTGAAAATTAAAAATTAATGAAGAGGTAGGTCGAACATTGCCAATAGTCGGGCCTCAGAACATAAGTTATCACCAATATAACCAGCATTATTAGAATGCGTAGTTACATTGACAAGACATAGGATTTTTTTTACTTGTTTTTGGCCACGCCCACTGGATCATTGGCGATGAAATCTTTTTTTAAGTATTCCCAATACCTATTCTGTCTTCCAACAAAACATGAAAATTTTCTGAGGGGAAGCGTCCGAGCGGGCCTTGGTGAGACCTAACTGAACGTCAGCTTCATCGAGAAAACTTCGGTACACTGGATTGGAAATAATAGCATGACTGCCTTAATTGTGTGCCAGCTTTACTGTGAGATATGTTGTTGAATGTTAAACACTTTTCTCTTTTTTGAGCAGCGTGATAGCTATGTCCATACCTTTTGTCATCCGCACGCGGGAGAAGATCCTAGTCCGCGATTTTATGAGCATGGTACCACTGCTCAACCATACGGATCGCTACTATCTCGTTTCGAAAACAGGGCTCGAGAAAGATTTCAAGAATATTCGTATAGTCGACAACCCACCACTGAATACAGCATTCTCCTTCCGTATGCACCTGGATCGTCCACTGAGTGGCCAGTGGTTGCCGCTGCTGGAAGTTGCGATGCAATCTCAACTGAACATCGGCATGGGTGACCGCTCGTACAGCGCGTTAGCAGTGTATAAAGAATGCGCCAGTCGACATTATTTTTCTAGGTAAAAGTTCCACAGCTGAAGTGCGTCTATGGGACTTCGATCCGGATGCTGCGGTTGTCAAATTTTTTGTCCTGCTACCGTACCCGGCATCCCCGCTAAGAGAGGCCCTAGATGCCAGACTGCCGTATGCCACCAGCATCTACCGCAAACTCGATGGTCTCCAGTTTCGCTTACCATCGACTAATGTTACCTATACGCTGATGAGATTTCATTTACCCGGTCACATGCAGGATGTGGTTAAAGCATCAGCTTCTGCGCCGCAGTGCCAAAGCGAGAGTGCATGGTCTTGTTTACCGGTAGAAGAGCAGCTAAAGGAAACGTTCTCCTTGTACGTCGAGTGGGTATCGTTTGTTTCACACAACCAGTACCTGCCGAACGGATTCTTCAAGGAGCTGCCGGTAGGCTCTGAAATTACCTATTTAAGCCAAGTGATTGAATTACACCGGTCAGTAGAATTATTTCTTCACATGTGTACGCAAGTGCTCGCTGAGGGTTACGAGGGTTGTTCCCTAAGTTCGGTCGTTCAGTTTGTAGTTATTCTAGATTCTGCACACAATCCATTCGATTTTTTAAAAATTTTCTCCGTTCGCTTTGCTACATTCTTTATATCTGTATTAACAGCAACGCTGTTGAGTGCATTCAGTCTTCTAACCAGTGCCCCGTCTCCGGATGTAAATTCGGAGAATTTTGATCTTTTGCTGAAAGACAGAAAACTTTTAGAATAAACGGAAAAAAATAGTTTCATCTGCCACGATCAATGGGCGCGGCCAACACGGAATATAACAATAAATTCTACACTATGCTGTAGTCAATGGACAATGGACTACATAGCATGTTGAAAGGTTACTGAACAACCTAAACGAGGCCAGTTTCAGCATTCGTTCAACAGATAAAAATAAGGAGCAGTGCAAATCTATTTCTACTGAAAAAGCTAAATGTAGACTGAACCATTTCCTACATAATAACGTAAGAAACATAATAACGTTGATAACATAATAACGTAAGATGCGGTGCATTGCCCATAGGCTACAGCATAGTGTAGAATTTATTGTTAAATTCTGTTTTGGCCACACGGCCACACCCGTTGATCAAGGCAGATGAAACTTATTTTTTTTCCCATTTATTGCAATGTTCCTCTGTCTTTCCGCAAAAGATCAAAATTTTCTGAATTTACATCCGGTGACGGGGCCCTGGTAAGACCAATGCTTGCCGTATCTGTTTCGGTAGACAGGAGGATCCACTCTTGCGGACATGCCTATCGCTACCGCACCACGAATATTCACTGATGATTATTTTATTTCAAACCACCACTTAAACACGTGTTAAAGAAGCAGTTACAAAAACAACAACTCGTTAAACATTTCCGCTTTCTCCACCGTCCCCAAAACAGAATCCGCGTTACCACGCTGTATCTCTATAGACAGACGTTGTCGAAGAAATTCGTGCGAGCGGGCTTCTCCAGAATGAGAACGTAATCTCTTCCCCAGTTCTTTTATAATGGCAATGGCCGCTGGTCCCCACGGTCCCATTGTTTCAAAAGCGATAGGTGTGAAATCCAAGGTTGTTAATATATTCACTTGCACAATCCAAGGTTGTTAAATTTTGGACTCTTTCTTTACAGAATTCCGATAAGGTTTTGGATGCATTACAGCAAGCCTTCGCCATTTCGAACAACCAGACAGGGTACAATAATACACTGACCATCACTGTAACCGAGCGCGATGATAATTTGAAAACAACAAAAGGGTGAGTTTGAGCGTTGACTCGGCAACAGCGTGGAGTGACTCACAAAAGCGCTGCTCAATGCTCACCAACTTTTCTCAGCGCTAAATCGATGTGTGTAACAGTACCGCACATCTTAGCAGTTATCAATGTTAACAATAATAATGCCTGTTTCACTTATATAGGCGCGACGCTACCAGATTTACTTTTGCGCTGACGTATCCCGAAATGCCAAGTCAGTTTGATTGGAAACCTTGGCGCTATCCATCATTTGATGACCTAAACAGCCTGTTGCAAAGCATCGCAAAGGTCAAAATCGTCCGAACTTGGACAGTCGCGGTGTCAGCTTTCAGTTAGCTCAATTACAATTTCCGGTTTGTAGCTAATGTGTAGGACCTTCCATCGATTTAGCTGATCCCAATCCTTACTTCAGTCTGTATAATGTGGGAAATTTGGAGCTTAAAAACTAATCGAAAGGCTATAAATAAGAGTATAAATGTGAGTACAAAGCAATATCACAAACAACCGCACCGCAAACGACATACGTATTGACATACATATTGACATTAACTTTAACGACATGATAAAACATTGAAACCGTTGTTGCAAAATGTTGCGTAAATGCGCCGCACATACTCTCTTTATGTGCACAGATACGCTTCATATGGTTGCGTTGGAGATTACGCGACAATTTGTTGCAGAAAGCGAATACTGATATATTTTGTACTGTTTGTTTGTTAATGGTAAAAGACCAGGTTTTATTTGAATGATTTGCGTTACGACCCTGATTATCCGACCCGCTAACCAAGGATTTCCTCAGCGGGTAAAACGGTGCCCAGCCTGATATCGTCCAGCACTGGTCGACTTCCAACCGGCGTCAAAGCCAGGAAATTCCGATCCATGAGACCGATGCGGGAGAACTTGATGTGTACCCAATAGACGACCAGTTTGTTGTTAGCCAAAACCCTGCCCACCCTGAAGGGGATTACCATCTCCCGATCGAAAACTTTGCAGCTGAACATCAAACAGATTAAGCTTGCTTAAAGATTTATACGTATGGAAATCTGAAGTGCTGCTGCAAAAAATTTACGTACGCTTACACCAGGCTTCCACTTCATACTGTTTTTTTTTGCAATATATTGCTCAAATTCACGGAAGCATATCCGGGCCCGTTTCCTCAAACATACTGCTACGGTACATCAACGTGCGTGTTTATGGCTCTAATGTTACGGCAAATATGTACTTACGATACTGCAGAAATCAGCAATACTACTTATATTAGCGTAAAACTTTTGATCTCGTTAACTGTGTACTAAACCAAGTTTTTGTCTCCATAAGTGTTTAAACAGCTAACTTAATGCTTGTGCATTTTAAAGTTAATATGTGTTATTAACTAGACTTATACTAGTATCACGCATAATGCACAGCTTATAATAACTTTCCGCGCTGCAGTTAACTAGGTCATGTAAGCTGGCTCCAAAGCTGATGTCGGCCAAACTCAGAGAAGATTCTATATTGTAGAAAGGTCGTATTTATCTGCAGTGATCACTAGGGCGTGGCCAAACAATAATCATAAATGTGTGCTTTATCGCATATTTTTTTGCATATTTACCGCATATTTTTATTTCGATATTAATGTAGCTTTTGCCCATACTTTCATTTCGATTTTGCGGACATAGCAGTATGTAGCCGAAAAACCTGTCCGCAGAATGGAAATTAAATTGCGGATAAAACCTTAATGCAGTCTACTGATCTATTACAATATACAAATTTCACTTTGCTCCGCCCCAATAAACATTGCAGATGAAATTATTTTTCGACATATTATGTACGGCAGTACACTACCTTTCCTAACAAAATGAGAATTTACCTACTTCAAAGCCGGCCAAAGGCCCTTCTAACAATGTAAGTGGTAAGTAACTTTGCCTTCACTTTGCTACCGGGAAAATAATGCTAACGGCATCGACATGTCTATGTTTGCACCTGGACATGGTGACCTTTTTCACTACAGACTACAGAAATCACGAATGCGCATTGCACAAAAAGACAGCAAATTTTACCACTGATATTAGTGCATTGTTTGCGGTTATTAAAGTTACTCGATTCAGTTTTCATTTATCGGAAATTGTAAGTTATTTTTATAATATATTGGTTGCCGTCGTCTAATTTTTTTATTCTTTCAGTCTAATTTTGCTATCAATGGCTCTCTTCGCTCGGATCTGCAGAGAAGTTACAACTGAAAAACGCACCATGACGTGTACAAACGCTGACCAAATAGCCTATCGTATTCCGATCGTATGCCGATCTCTTGTGTCAGCTGGGATTCCGGCAAAACTGGAGCCGCGTGGCACATCGCATACGTCCGAACGACGTCCTGATGGTTGCACAACCTTCGCCTGGCACAGAGGGATGTGCTTAGCATGGGACGTCACTTGTGTCGACACGGTTGCGCCTTCCCACGTCAAGTCTACGGCAGGGGATAAAAGGTGGCAGTGGCAGTTGCCACTACGCGTTCTGGCAGGCGATGAAACGTGGCAAACTGTTAAAAATTCAGAATCAGCTTGAGACAATTTTGCCATCCAACGATAATTTCTAGGGAGAGCATTTTCGTATTTTCACAGATGGACTCTATAGTCGAAGTTGTCCACGGACGCACACCTCAGCTGAGTCTTGTGACCACCCCTTCCAATGCAGCATTAAATGAGTGCTGCAACGCTGTTCAGCAGACACAACTGGCGCAGATTCACTCAGATTCAGTGCCGCTTACGATCGAAGCGCGGTAATGCGACGGTATTTTAAAACCGCTCCTTGTTTTATAAAACCGCTCCTTGTTTTACGCCGCTCTTGATAAGCGCGGCGTAAAACAAGCGTGTTTGACGAAGGTCCGGTATGTGTCTTAAAAACAATGAAAATACAAAAGTTCGTTCAGGTTTTCGCTTCAGTTGTGACCAATGCAAATAACTGATGTGCCAAAAGTGTTTGAAGCTGTTGGGCTACAGGCCCGTGGCCGTAGGGCTGAGTCTGACTCTGACTGTTAAAAGTCAGGGACAGACTATCAAAATTCACGTCTTGTTCGTTTTTATCGTTATGTAAGGGTCTTCTTAATTTTAAATTTCTTAGTTTGTTGGATTTTTCATGCTTTCTAAAAATAAACAAATCAAGAATTCTATAAAAACCTAATAACCCTAAGAATTCTAAGGAACGCAAAATGCGCAAGAAACCTAAAAAAATGTTTTGTCTGTACGAGTCAGGCTGCAATGCTACGGCGGACGCATTGCAAGCCGAATTGCAGGCGCTTTTGTCCACCGACGAATGGGGCGCATGACGGTGGCCGCACTGATGTGCCAAACACCGGCTTAAAGTCTTAAAAGGCTTCAATTACGCCCAACAGACTATAAGGTGTAAGGGTAAAAAGCCCTGCGCTTGATTCTGGCAAACAAAGAGCGCGTCTGGTTGTAATTTTTTATGTATCTCTGCTGTACGGTAGATACTACAGATGTGGTAGTTGTGCAATATATTCTGTTTGTTTTCGTTTTCTATTTTTTTTGGACAAACCCTGAGCGAACAATTGGTACGGTATCCCTCGTACCATGTCGGACTAAGATTTTTTTCTATACTGAGGGTTCATCATACTTGACGTGGACCATGCACGTGCACGCCTTCAAGAGTTTAAGGGTTTTTGAGTTGTTAATAATGAGAAAGGTGGTGCCTTCCTTCAATGTTTTGATTTTTGAATTTTTAACAGTTGCCACGTTTTATCGCTTCCCTGAACGCGCAGTGGCAACTGCCACTGCCGGTGGCAGTTGCCAGTGGCAGGTGCCACTGCCACCTTTTATCCCCTGCCCAAGTCTACGGCAGCAAACGCAGGTGCAGCGGCGTTGGAAGCGGAAAAAAAGAAGTCCCGGTTTTATTTGTATCTAAGTGGCAGATACATCTTTGTACCGATAGCTTTCGAAACAATGGGCCCTTGGGGGCCGTCCGCTATCGCCATCATCAAAGCACTGGGCAAACGACTCGAGCAACACACGGGGGAAGCCCGTTCTCATGAATTTTTACGCCAAAGATAGCTCAGAGCAGCAATTATGGAAACAACAAATATGGCTGCTTGTTTCTAGCCAGGAGAGACTGCTTTATCAAATAACAACCATCGCCTTCCTACAACGCGGAAACCGCTTTATAAATCCGCTTTGGACACCTATTTTCATACTGTCATCTATTGAGACCCTTGTAGTTGAGACCGTTCTTCGAACCAGTACCATAATTCGTTTGACGATGGCTCGGAAGGATGCTCGTGGACAGCATAGTCCAAACGCCGAAAATTCGGAAAACACGGTGGCTACCCGGCCTACCCCGAATGATAAGGGGTGTGCTCCATCCAGATGTTTATAGCCAACTGGTTAGCCACACCGAAAACATAAATCTATGGGCGGCAACGGTCAGTCGTTATACTGCTGTCTTTCTCCTTCTGGCGGCCCTCAGGATCCCATGCGATACCATCAGTGCCCTGACTAGCAGGGTCTACGCGTTTCCCCATGAGGTATGCGTGTGCGCTTTAATACGGTAATGAGTAATCAGAGGTAAGCCAGCGCTGACGTAGTATAAAGGTAATAAAGTGCTTTTCAGTAGAAGTAGTACAGATAGTAGTTCAACGATCGTTATTCTAAATCTTGGTAGCCGGAAGAAACGCGTTTTCGGAAACGGACGGAATATCTACTGATGAACGTCGTACTACCCGGGATGGTGTATTGGTTGATTTCCATTCTGACGCTGTGTTGCGCCCGGCAGATTGTGACAAAAGCTCAGGAAGTATGGAAAAATCCACGGTTGTTCATCGAGAGTGAAGCCGTATGTCAACAGCTTGTGGACGCATGCAGCCAACTGCGCTTCGTCTCCTTACCAATTGCGGTCGGTCCGATGCTGACCTTCTTTGAGGATGTTGTTCTTATCGACGTCAATGTCTACTTGGGAAAAGAATTCTACGCTCACATAAAGGTTAATCGTCTTTCCTGGTGGCTGGATCTCGGGCAAGTCTTCTTCTGGGGTTGGTGGGAGCGTTTGGTTACGTTTGGTCGTTGAGGGCCAGTACCTGTAATTCAAAATGGAGACCGTGATCTCTTCTAACAACTGAAAGCATGCGCAGACCATGGTATCACGCAAGGGTTTTCAACTAAGAAGATGAACCGTTTTCTTTTTGCTCTTGTGAAAGGAATATTACGGATTCAGTCTTTAGTACCGTAACCACAGTCATGATAATATTTAATCAAGGAGCAACCGCACATATCATCGGCTCCCCTAGGCATATTCTTACTCGTAAGCGAACTTATTGATTGCTCTTCTGTTAGCAGTTCTAGTATCGTTTCAAAACATTAAGCGCTTATTTTCGGGATTCGTATTCATATTTTCTGGACGTTTAGACTCATTCATTGGCATATGTGCATCTTACAGTATATGAGCAATTATTTGTGGTTACCTACCTATTTACGCGTCAAAAATGTCGTGCTGCATGTACTAAAGCGGTAGTTTCGTTCAATCAAAAAAAACAACGTTGGTTCAGTAAGATTTCTGTTTCCACTGAGACTGTCACGTGATAATAAGCCTCTATTCTTTATTAAAATTGCTTTATACAAGTACATGGCGTATTGCTCTCTACCGCTTCGCAGCGGGAATGGCGCTTGTAAATCTTGTTTCCACCGCCAGCTTTTGGCATTGCAAATTGTGTTCGCCTTGAGAAACTACAACAGGGTATAGACTCGACACCAGTGTTGGTATCCACGTACCGGTTCCGGCATGATTCGTCCTGTTTCCCGTTGTTCCACGAATGCCGCATTCAGCGGCTGGTCGCCAAAAAACGGCCCTGCTGCAACTGGCACTCCATATGACGCCGCTTCCACCGTACTGTTCACCCACAATGGCTGATGAATACACCGATTGCCTTATGCGCTAGGACGGCTTTTTGTGGCACCCACGGGACGATCATTATAGGTCACACAGATACAAGTTAATTAAGGTATGAATTAGAATCTTAGATTTCCCACAATGTGTCTCCCGCACTGAAGTTACTCCATTTCTAGTGAAAAAAATTACATGATTGATGATACCAGTTTCTTTACATGCACCGAAACTTCTGCATTCACACATTTTCAGATACTTCATTTTCATTGTTTTGTAAGATTTCGTGTTCAGAGGTTTCGTTTGCCTTGGCGTGAAATCCGTCTGCACGCCCAACATTAGCGGGAGATTTAGTAACTGCTTCAAAATGATTTCGAAAAAGTTTAAATGCATGCAGGTGAACCGAAAAATGTCATGTTTGAAATGAGCGTCTTGCATGGATCTCTCATACATCAAGATTTTATCCTAGATAACTTTCACAATACAATTTTGTCCTTGATAGCGGCTCACATTCCTCGTTGAAGCCATGCACTCGATTTTGATTGAGGAACGACAGCAGAGTTGTTGACATTCGGCTTGGCTGTATATTTATTTGGCCGAAGTGTCTCGGGGCAACCGTTTTTGTTGGAATTGCAATACTTTGTATCGGTATTGTTGCCTGGAAATGGAATTTAATCAGTAAAAACAAAACATCACGAAAATCGCAAATTTAAAATATTTTTTTTTACCCTTCCTGAAATATGAATGGCCCCGTGGGGGCCGGGGGTCTTTTCACAACCGTTTTTTTAGATGACTATATCAAAGTTAATACTATGGTTAATAGATACAGAACTACTTAACAAGTTAAACTGTATTCTGGTCCTAGTTTTGCTCTGCTAACAATTAAAAGTTTGATATGATGGTCAACACTACGCGACTGCTTCGGTGTAATGCACGCTTGCATTAAATTACATGTAAGCAAGCACGCGATTTGAACGGTAAGGCGTTTCTATTTCTATCAGGATTTTTGCTCGAACGTAACGTTTACCATAAAAGAGCAATTGAAAATAGAATGAAAAGGCGGTGACACGCTTTTTTCGGTATTTTTTTTAAATATCAATATGCCATGCGCGTTTGCTGGGGAAAATCGCATGGGATGCTGCAATTTTGAGCACATCAACACAGATTGCAATACTCATATCAACGATATTAATTTTTAAGGCCATGAGTAAGGCACGACGACTATGTTGCTGATTTATATCGAGAGGGGGTAGAATGTTTTAAAAATTTTTGAATACTGCAAAGATCTAAATTAATTTTTTTGCCGTCACGATTTTGAATGGTAAGAAAAGCTGACATTCTTCCTTTTACATATAGATTTTTTTCAAAAGCTTATTCGGACTGTCGCATCTGGTACGGCGGTTCAGTTCTTGACACTTGTATAAATCAGTAAAATTGTGCTTACTGTACAGTACTTCAATTCCAAGTTAAGTGCAGAACTTATTACAGTTATGAGTGGAAAAAACACTGGATGCAGATCTGCTAGTGCTTTTTGCTTTTATGTCAGAGTTCAGATGACCTTTAGTTTCCATGACAATGGCCGTCCCACAGATTATTAACTATTATTGTTATGAACATGATTACACGAGTACCACGCTTGGAGAGATGTCTAGTAGAGTCCGTAAGTGCATTGTAGTCCGTTATGTGCAAATCACTTGGTTTACAGTGCTAATTTCGATACTCGGACTAAAATTAATTGCAAAATTTGAAGAAGGTCCGTCTCTAACGAAGCTTTCAATGACAGTAAACTTATTTTACTGTATTATAAAACATTTCAAGCTTTCACCTATAAATGTTTAAAAGATATTGCGCGGACAAACTATTTTGTCGCTTATATACAGTGCAAAAATTATTATGATTATAGCCACTTGTATACGCTATCACAAAGTAATTCAGAACTTCAGTACGGCAGGAAAGTGAAAAATCCCGTGCATGTACAGTATGTACATATCTGTAGAAGTAGTCAAAGTACCGCCGCCAGGATAAAAATGGATTTTGTCACTTTGTGCAAATAGGACCAGTTGCAGTCGAACTGCATTATGCAGGACTGTCATTCAACAAGTTTAATGTCATTGTCATTACGCCATTTACTGAATCACATACCGCCGTACAGACGGTACAGTGCGGCACGTAAACCGCAAAAGGCGTAAATTATAAACTGTACAGGGACAGTTTCACAAAAACAATCAAAGCAAAATTTTTACGTAATTCACAATAAGGCAACATTTTGGCGTCATAAAAAAGGGAAGCCGACCTGCACATCACAAAGGGGCCTAGAAAAATGAAGTAGCAAAAGCTTATTGATAACAAAGCAGCCCGTGTTAGCCCTACGGGCATGGTAACAAGGGTTTCAGTGACCGCTGGGAGTAACAAATGAAGTTGACTAAAGGTGAACAGCTCAGGAACACTCTCCGCACTCTGTGGATTTTGTTGCACTTTAGATCAGCGAAATTGGGTGATTAGAAGCTGAAATGACTGGCCGGGAAGGAGAGGGGCTGACAGTCTAGCACAGATAATTAATATTCATAAACGTATACCAAGTAACCATTTTACTCGGACCGCTCCCCTGTTCTCTTGCCGTCACCCGCCTGGAGTGTGACGTTACGGCAGTACATATGGTAAAATCAGACGCGGAGCATCACTTTTACTGCTCGTGCAGGACTCCAGAGCCTGCACGCGTATTTACGTGAGCGTCACATCTGCTACGTTCCACTGTCAAAGTTAATTTTGAAATTTACGGTCGGTGTTGATTTTTACAAACGAAAAATGCATCAACTGCTTTCCACTTCAAATATTGTAAATATTCGCTTTCTATTTTAAATTACGTAGTAATTTTAAATATTATGTACTGTTTCCTGTTGTGACATCCGGTTGCTGCGGCGCGACGCCACTTAGTTCACCGAAAACGGCAGTTTCGACTAAATGGTTTTCCGATTTCGAGTGACTTTGTGAACACCGTTCCCCGACTCTCCGTCCCAGTTGTACGGATGACTGTGAGGGACATGAACGTGTTGAAACCGAATCGTCGAAATTCGTGGTTTCGATGACTGCGGTGTAGGAGAGGATGGCTCCTTGCTAACACACTCTCCGTTTTCTTTCGCCCAGTCATACATACGTATGCCCAAGTGGACACTGCCCACCTGGACGCCTAGATAGTTAATGTACATCTTGCAGACAAACTTGCATAGAATAATACTATAATCCCTTAATACAGGCATTTGGGGATAACATTAATTATGGAAAGCTACTAATGAGGTATTTTGTGCCAAAAATTACCGTGAGTAAGTAGATTGCCAAACTAAAACTTTTTGTGAAATTCTTAGATTTGAAAACTAAGCAGTAAGTACATGATTACAAAACTTGTTAAAATGTTGTTTGACTTGTTGCAGAAGCCTTAACTCACAGATCACTATCGGGCAACTTGTATTTGACATTTACTCATTGTACTGTACTCTGTAGTCTCTACTGTATTGCAATACCGAATAATACTCGGCTTGCCATAAGCATAATGCCGGCTATGCAGCACTCAACCGCCCTGGGCGGTGACTTCTTACCGTTGCAGCGGGCGGTTGCCTGCTTCCTGTTCCTGTCACATTGCCGAAGCAAAGACAACTATGAGGAATACGAGTACATATTTCGATCACCACGACGGGACGGTGAGTCGGACTGACCGTGTCATCGGAAATCCGTGACCACGGAAACTCCGTCAACACCGCCTCCTAGAGAAACTATTTCTAAGTCTCAGAAAACGGTTAATTATGGGGTTACACTTGCCGGCGATGCACTTCGATGCACAAAACAGGCGTATACAGATAATATTTTGTGGCTTTTGTTGCACTCCAGGATCTGTAGTGCAAGTTGAATTTTTTTTTAACTTTTTTGTGATAGTTCGTTGTGCGCAGCACTACAATAATTTCATTTCGACGCGAAAAGCTGAGGCACAGGGAACTTCAGGTTCAGTTTCTAATTTGGTTTTCTGTGCAAAAATCGCACTGCTTAGTAAAACATGATCACCATTAATTTGAAAATAAGTTACAAATTGGTTAATTTTGAGAAGTACCATTTGAAGGCGCGTTTTTTCACGCGGTTTTCCTAGTGAAAAGTCAAGATAAATCAATGAAAGTAGAGATTGTTATGAAACTACTAAATATCACTGTCCAAGAAAGGTCATTCTGCTAAGCCACCATTTCATTTTTTCTCGCCGCAACAACAGCATACAGTAATTGTTTGAGCTTTTCATAAAGTAAAGCTTAAACAAGTGATTTAGAAAGTATTAATGAGCCGCTTTCGGGTTACAGTTAGGAAATCACTATGGCCTCACCAATTTCATTCCCGTTGATCATAGCCACCCGTTTTTGCATCGCTCTAATAAGCTAATTATAGGCACCAGTTTCAGTATTAACAAATACAGATCGTTCGTGCCAAGTGTGGACAGTAAACAAAAAATTCCCAGCTGCTACCGTTGAACACAAAATGCTTTCGCTATTTTTTCATGATACAAAGTAGTTCTTTATCTACAGCAACTTTTTTAGTCAACTGCACTAGAAGCTCATATGTAGGAATCGGGAGCCGAATTTTAACTTTCAATTTTTTCACAAAATTCGCAC